ATTTTGAAACTTGGACAAGTCAAGGTCAAGAATAAGACCATCTCTCTGACAGAAAACACAGTGATTGAGGAGCACTTGGGGAAGTTTGGTGTCATTTGCTTGGAAGATCTCATTCATGAAATTGCCTTCCCAGGGAAGCATTTCCAGGAGATCTCATGGTTCTTGCGCCCTTTCCACCACTCAGTGGCCTGTCACGTTACCAAAAATAGAGTGACCTTTCTCAAGGAGCTGGGCACACCTGGCTATCAGGGTGAATGCACCGATCAGCTCATCCGCCAGCTGAACTAGACCCAGGTGCCAAACTGCAGTAAATTTTTGTCAATGAAGTGGAAGCATGTGTTTTTGGTTTTTTTGGAAATTTTTATCAAATATCTTCAGAGAAGATTATTTCCTGCCTTATCTTCAAATACTGGAAAGGAAGGGTCAAAGACAGTAGCTGGCCGGGAACAGTGGTTCACATCTGTAGTCTCCCAGCACCTTGCAAGGCTGAGGCAGGAGGATCACCTGAGGTCGGGAGTTTGAGATCAGCCTGACCAACATGGATAAACCCCGTTACTACTAAAAATACAAAAATTAGCCAGGCATGATGGCACATACCTGTAATCCTAGCTACTCAGGAGGCTGAGGCAGGATAATCGCTTGAACCCGGGAGGAAGAGGTTGCAGTGAGCCGAGATCACGCCATTGCACTCCAGCCTGGGCAACAAGAGTGAACTCTGTTTCAAAAAAAAAAAAGACAAGACAAGACAGTAGTTTATGTTCATGGCAAGCACCTCTCATCACAGTCCAGTTCCAAAAAAAAATTTCAGTCTTTCCTACATTGGCTTCTGCCTTGTCTGAAATCAGCACATTCCATGGAAGAAGGAGTCCTGCTTTTGTTGCATCTTCTATTCTAGGGTTTAATGTTAGTAAATGAGTAACTGTAGCGTTCGTACAAGGTTCCCTAAGACTCCTGCAGCAGTCGACCAAGCCCAGGGACACAAGTGAATCTGGAGATTCCTGAGGCCTTGTTTTGAAAAAGACTTGAAATACACATAGGAAGAAAGGCATAAAAATAAATGTTCACTTGTCTCCGCCAAAAAAAAAAAAAAAAAAGACACAAGGAAGCTTCACGCTTCCTTGACTTATTCCCTCTGAGCACTTTCCCCACTTAATATTAAGGAGGAGTTCTTTATATTATTTGGTGAATGGGGACTTTTTTTTTTTTTCCTCTTGGTATCTTGACACTAAGTTCGTTTGGGGCGTTTACTCCTCTTACATTCTATCCCTGTATAGATAAATGAAAAATATTTTAGAAGCTGTTAAAAGAATTCTAAAGTGTGGGCAGATGCTAAGTGATTATGACAGTAAATAATTTCTTTTGTTCCTGTAGGCTTTAATATCTCTCCTACAAGATAGTACCTTCATAAATTGTCTTGTGGAAACATTATCTAAAAATTTCATTTAGGACAAAGGAGACTAGAAGCTTTTGTCATTAAACATGAAATAGCCTTGCTTTCTTTACTCCTAGAAATGTAGGCAGTATTTCTAGAAATATTTAATGATAGCGAACCACTTCCTGGCCATCAATTTGATTCCCTTCCATTTTCCTAGACTTCTGAAGAGGTCTCACTTCACACTATTTTGCATTACAGAACACAGTCTTTATACTTCTTCTTATTCTTTTTTTTTTTTTTTTTTGAGACAGGGTCTCACTCTGTCACCAATGCTAGAGTGCAGTGGCGCTATCTCAGTTCATTGCAACCTCCACCTCCCAGGTTCAAACGATTCTCCTGACTTAGCCTCCGGAGTAGCTGGGATTACAGGCACACACCACCATGCCCGGCTAACTTTTTGTATTTTTAGTAGAGACGGGGTTTCACCATGTTGGCCAGGCTGGTCTCAAACTTCTGGCCTCAAGTGATCCGCCCGCCTCAGCCTCCCAAAGTGCTGTGATTACAGGCATGAGGCATCCTACTCGCCCACTGCCTTTATTCTGATAGCTGTTTCTCACCTGCTTCCTTACTCTGCTCCTCAAAACAAGTCTGAAATCCTTTTCCAGTAAAAATCTACTCTTTGGACACACAAATAACAACTGCACATTAGATTTCTTAAAATATTTGTTTTAAGATTAAACACAAGCCAAAAATCACCATAAGGTGACTATTTTTGTCCTAAAATTTAGTGCAAGCCAGAAACTTCCAAGGCAGAGGCAGTAAAAAGTAGTGATTGAAAGCATACCACACTTTGGAGACAGTCAAGCTGAGTTTGAATCCCAGCTGTGCCCCTCTAAGCTATGCGACCAATATCGGGATTTACGTTACCTCTTTACCTTTTGTAAAATAGGAACAACAAAAGTACCTACTATAGAGGAGTGCTGTGGGGATAAACACAAAAGAATGCAATAAAAATGCTTAGTGTAATGTTTGATACACAGTGAGTGATCAACATGTATTAGTTAGTCTCTCCTTCCCCCCCCCCCCCCCCCCCCCGAGGCAGGGTGTTTCTGTGTTTCCCAGGCTGGTGCAAACTCCTGGGCTTAATGATCCTCTCCTTGGCCTCCCACAGCGATTACAGGCATGAACTACCACAGCTAGAAATGCGGTGTAGAATGGTAGTCTAACTTGACTATTTAGAATTACTAAATATAAATTATTTACCAATACACAGATAATATGTTTTCTTTATATGTCCTATTTATTTTCTTGGGGAATTTCATAAACTTTCGATTTTTACAACTACAATTCATTGTAAAAACAATTATTAGTTATTAAAAAAATATAGCCAGCCACAGTGGCTCAAGTCTGTAATCCCAGCACTTTGGAAGGCCAAGGCAGGCAGATTAGCTGAGGTTAGGAGTTCGAGACCAGCCTGGCCAACATGGCGAAACCGTCTCTACTAAAAATACAAAAATTAGCCAGGCGTGGTGGCGTGCGCCTGTAATGCCAGCTACTCAGGAGGGTGAGGCGGAAGAATTGCTTAAACCCAGGAGGTTGCAGTGAACTGAGATTGCACCATTGCACTCCAGCCTGGGTGATAAGAGCGAGACTCTGTCTCAAAAAAAAAGGAAAAAAAAAAGTGAATTAAAGTAAGGTCTTACAAATGAATACTGAAGAACAAGAATGTCCATATTGGCTGTGCACAGTGGCTCATGCATGTCATCCCAGCACTTTGGGAGGCTGAGGCAGGTGGATTGCTCGAGCTCTGGCATTCAAGATCAGCCTGGGCAACGTGACAAAACTCTGTCTCTACAAGAAATACAAAAGTTGGCTGGGCATGGTGGTGCACACCTGTATTCCCAGCTACTTAGAAGTCTGAGGTGGAAGGACTGCTTGAGCCTAGGAAGTTGAGGCTGCAGTGAGGTGAGATTGGACCACTGCACTCCAGCCTGGGTGACAGGGCGAGACCTTGTCTCAAAGAAAAAAAAAAAGGAAAAAAAGAAAATATCCATATTTTTTGTTCAGACAACTGCAACTGCTTACCTGCCTATTAATTACTTCTAATTATATTTATAGTAATGTAGATTAAATTGTCACTGGCAATCTCATAGGCGGTAAGATAGTTTTAATAAGGATAAGTATATAATTAAACGGGAGCTCTTAAAGACTCCTGGTAACATTTTAATTGGTTTAACCTTCTGCCTTGCAACTGGCAACTGGTATTCAGTAAAAGCCATAAAAACATAATATTGTTGGACCTAGGAATAGCCCCAAAGAGGTTATGAAGATGTTAACTGAATTATTTTTCTTTTTCATTTTTTGGGTAGCAGCTTTATTATTATATAATTCAAACAACATAGAAGTAACACATTTAAAGTGTACAATTCAATGGTTTTTAGTACAGGTTGTGTGTCCCTAATACAAAAATCTGAAATGCTCCAAAATCCAAAACCATTTGAGTGCCAACATGACACTCAAAGGAAAGCTCATTTTGGATTTTCAGACTAGGTTGCTCAACCAGTAAGTACATAATTTAATGCAAACATTTCCAAATCTGAAAAAAAAGTCTAAAATTCAAAATATTTCTGGTCTCAAATATTTTGGATAATACTCAACCTGAATATTCAGAGTTGTGCAACCATCAACACAATCAATCTCGGAACATTTTTCTCACCTCGAAAAGAAACCTTCAAAAAACTAGTTGGGCGTGGAGGCATGCACCTGTGGTTCCAGCTACACAGGAGGCTGAGGCAGGAGGATTGCTTGATCCTGGAGGTCAAGCTACGGTGAGCCATGTTCACGCCATTGCACTCCAGCCTGCAGCCTGGGTGACAAAGCAAGACCCTCTTTCCAAAAAAAAGAAAAAAGAAAAAAAGAATCCCCATATCATTTCACTATCATCCCCTAATTCCATGCCTACCCCTAGCCCTAAGCAACCACTTCCTTACTTTCTGTCTGTATATATTTGCCTATTCTGGATATTCATATAAATGGAATCAAATAATATGTGATCTTTTGTGACTGGCTTCTTTCATTTAGCATACTGCCTTCAAAGGTTACATATGTTACAGCACGTATTAGTATTTTCTTTTTATGGCCCAATAAGATTCCATTGTATAGGTCGGGTGTGATGGCTCATGCTTGTAATGCCAGCACTTTGAGGCTGAGGAGGGAGGATTGCTAGAGGCCAGGAGTTTGAGACCAGTCTGGACAACACAGCAAGTCTCATGGCACCCCAACCTGCGTCACGGAGCTAGACCCCATCTCTTAAAAATAAAAATTCCATTGTATATAGATGTATCATATTTGATTTATACATTCGCCAGCTGATTAACATTTAGGTTGTTTCATCTTTGGCTATTATGAATAATGCGAACATTTGTAAAAACGTTTTTGCATGGACAAGTATTTTCATTTCTCTTGGATATATATTTAAGAGTGGAATTTGCATTACTTTTATTGGAGTGAAAATCAGAAGCAATTTCATGGTCTAACAACGGAATTATGTTACACTCTCAATAGTATTATGCAGAAATGCTACACTCTCAAGAGAAACATGCAGAAAAATGGTGGCTTTGTTGAATGAAGACCAAATAATAATAGGCTACATGAAGTGAAAAAAAGAAAAAAAAAAAAAAGGATACAACCCACTTGAAATCCTCCTAGGGCTTCCCATGGGACTTCCCATTCCTTCTTCTGTTCTATGGCATCTGTCCTCTGCTTCCACATCCTGCCTCAGCTGTCTGAGGGCCAGCCACACTAGCTTTCAGAGATTCTTAGAAACGTCTCAGCTTCGGAGCCTTTTCACATAGCTTCCTCTGCTTGTATCATTCTTTGCCCAGTGGTTTCAAGTCTCATCTTAAATGTCACTTCTTCAGAAAAACCTTCTCTGATATCCCAAACCAGGAGAAAGGCAAGTGTTTCCATAGCAGCCGGAGATTTTCCATCTTAATGGTTTTGATACTAGAATTGTTTACTTGGTCAAATATTGAGAGCCTTTTATATGCAGGGATACAGGGTGAAACAAAACATGCAAGATCCCTGCCACCTGCGACCTTATATTCTAGGGAGGGGATACATGTACAAGTAAACAAATAAATGCACTTGGTAATTTTACATACTGATAGCTCAATGGTTTTCCTCTGTTTGGACTGTAAACTCCATGAAGGCAGGAGCTATGTCTGTCTGGGCTACTTCCAGTTTGCTGAGAGTCTGGCCACTAAATAAGCTCGATACATATTTTTTCGCTGACAATTAAAACAAGTATATGAAAGACAGAAATGAGAAAAAACGGGACTTCTATAAATGGAGATCTAGCTCTTCCTCTTTCAAAACTTTCTGTAATACTACATAGCTTTAAATAATTAAATCAATTAAAATAGCAAAAAGTTACCCTTTGTAGTAACAGAACCCCAAATAAAACCCATTTATGTCACCACACACTCGTTAAGTACCTGGTAATAAAACCTATTCTGAAATACCCAGACGTGTTGGTTAAGTGGATAAAATCCAATTGGCGCATTGCCAAAGAGGTTCCTCCCCGTCAGCAGCATAGTTTATAGTTTTTCACAGAGGCTTTAAGCACCCATCATTTGATTCTCCCTCATTTTCCGATTTCTAAAACCCTTTAGAATCTCCCTCCACCCACACGATGTGGCAGCGAGAAAAACCGCAATTCTATTTACACGTCAATGGTAATACATAATATTTTGCCAGGTCAACAAATTTGCAAGATCTCCACCCAAGAGATCAGTATCCCCTTTCCAGTGAATCATTCTAAGACGCTGGAGACGAGTAGGGCTAGATAAAACCAAGCTACCCTAAGGCTGGACCAGAGGAGCCGATCGTGAGCTCCCTTCCCCCAAGCTCAGCGCTCGGCAGCCTCTTTCTTCCCCAGGCGCATGCGCAGCGCACTCCCCGGCCACCACACGCCTCCTCCATGGGGTCGGGAGACGCTGACGTCACCGTGCAGTCTGCAAGCAACCCTTCCGCTCCTTCAAGGAAAATGAGTCCACGGATATTCTTAGCCCCCAGAAAATGTCCTCCCTCTTTCCATCCCAGTGTCAACGACTTCCCCAGCCCGTCTCCTTTCGGCCGGACTTCTCTGTACTTTCGTTGGACCAGGAAGGCGGAGGGAGGGAAGAGGAAGAGTGAAAGACCAATTCCGTGTTGTTTACCAGGAGTGGGCGAGTCAAGGAATCGGTCCGCGAGGGCGGAGCCGTGGAAGCCGGCACTTCTTCCTTCTTTCCCCTCCCTCCCCAGCCTTCCCAGCGAGCGGACGCGGCAGCGCCTCTGTCTCGCTTTTTCTTATTTTTTCCCCCCTTTCCCCTTTCTTTTTTTTTTTTTTTTTTCTTTTCTTTTCCCCCCTCCCCCCCTTTCACCATTTCCTCTCGGAGGCGCTTTCCCCGGGCAGGGGCAGAGCCGGTCTCACCCCCCCGCCTCTCCCCGGCCCCCGCTGCCCTATGGCGAGAGGGAGCCCCCTCCCCACCCAGGCTCGAGCGGCGGCGGCCTCAGGCCGGGGGTCATCATGGAACTAATTCGCTGACCGACCCAGCGCCCGCAGCCGTGCGTCCCGCTCGAGCGCCAGCGCCGGCGCCTCCCGACCCGCTTCCCCCTCTTCTCCCTCCTCAATCGGCCCCGTCGTCCCGCGCGCACCGCCGCCGCGCGCCGATGAGAATGAGGTGGTAACGGGCCCCCGGATGACCCCGCATCACCACTGTGAGGCCTACAGCTCAGCCGGGGAGGAGGAGGAGGAGGAAGAGGAGGAGAAGGTGAGGGGCGGGGGCGGGGGGCTTGACGCGTCTCCGCGGCCGGCTTACGCGCTGGGGCCTCGCTGCTGCCCCCGCGCTGCCCCATTGGCAGCGCCCGTGGCCGCGGGCTGCTCGCTGGAGACCCGCCCTCCCGCATCCCCCAGCCCGGGGAACCTCGGGGCAGCCCTCTTCGTCCTCTCCGGCCCAAACCGACCCGGCACCTGCCCAGTTGAAAACAGCGCTACTGTGTTCCTTTTCGGGCCAATTTTTCTGTCAGCCAGTAACTTTTTTTGTGGCAGCGGCAAATTAGCTACTCTGTAGTGCGTGTTGGAGGCTTTACGAGCCTGTGTTAATACACAAAGAAGGGGACACACCCCCACCCTCAGGTTGAACGATCCTGCTGGTACACCAGGAAGATTACTAACTTTGCACAGCGGAGTGAATGCCAAATGAATGGGGTGAACCTGCGGTGCTGTGAAATTCGGGGGAGGGCAACGTTACCCAGGGCTTGGTGCGGGTGGGTGGTGGGAATCCGGAGGAGGTGAGATTTGAGTTGTACCCTAAAGGCTCGATTAAATAACTGAAATTTGAAAGGAGGACAAAGAGGCGAGGCCTCTGCTGGAGCTAGGAGGTTCCGTTACAGATCCTTTTGGCAGAAGTTGACATTTGGGTAGCAAAACAGTGGAATGTGTTTCGGGAGGTAGGATGGATTCGGACTCTGAAGGGGTTTGAACTAAAATATTTATGTTTTATTCTGTCAATGGCGAGCCACTCGACTTAAAGCAGCAGGGTATTACGGTAATGACGTTAAATAACAACACTTGATGAGGCTGATTATCTGCCAGGCATTCTCCTAAACGGCTTGCAATTCATTTAATCCTCCCAAGGCTGGTAGTAGGAGCCTCATCTTACAGATGAGGAAAACTGAGACGCCTCAAGATTAAGTAATTTTCTCCTTAGGCAACACGGCTAAAACCCGGTAACCAGAATTAAGCCTAACTCTATGCTGTGTGGTATCTCCTGAAAATGAGTTTGTTAAAATAACAGTGTTATCTGCTTCTAGCTTTTCCAGGTCATTTGTGGCAGATGAAATGGAAAGGATTGGACAAATAGATTAAGAAATAATGGACGGAATAGATTTAGATTGGCTAGTCTGGGACCAGAGAATCTCCGAGAGATTCTGAGCCCCTGGACTAGAAATTTCTTGATACCGATGAAGGGACGACTAAAGTTCAGGAAAGACGATCTGCAGTTACAGATAGTTTATGTGGTAATGTGACATCCTAGTAGGTTAGAATGGAACTTAGCATGTGTCTTGGTCAAAATTGGAAACTTGAGTGTGTCCGTGTTTTATTTTGATTGTGTAATACATTAAAAATGAAGAATATTCATCTTCCTGTGTATGTTTCTTCGTCTTTAAAATGGGCTTTATGGCTGAAATGGGGGTGTAGTAAGAAAAATAAAAATAAAAAACTCGAAAAAAAGGGCTTCCCACAATTTGATTAAATTGTGGGAAGGTTACATGAGTTAATATGACATAGCGCTTTGAACAATAGGCCGTCAAATAGTAAGCACTCAGTGCTTTTACTTGTTAAGCTCTTTACAAGTGAAGATATTAATTATTAGGCATATGCTCAACTCCGGAGATTAACATCAAATAATTCATTATTAGAAAAGGCAAGTCTACCAATAATCATCACAAAGCAACTAGATGTAAAAGTAGAATTATGTCCAAGTACAGATGTGGGAAGGCAGAGCACAACAGCACAAATCCGGAGAGTCTTACAGACTGATGGCTACTTTAGGAAGGGAAGTATGAACTAGAGGACATACCAAGCTGAAACAACAGTGTGTACAGCCATGGAGATTAGGAAAGGGCATATACTTGGAATCGCAAATACCTTTAATTCATTGTTTCCAGTGCATAAAGTCAAGGAGGGAATAGTAAAACTTCAGTTTCTTGTATGGCCACATTAATCCCTCATTTCAGAAGGGGAACTAAGTTTCAGAAGTCAGCACCAGTACAGGATTATTAATGGAATTAGTATGATAATGATGGCAAATACAATAATAGATATTAGTGAAGTTGTTTATATTGTATACTCAGCACTGTGCAGCACTTTTCCTCAGAGGAGCAGGGGACCGTGTATGTATATCTGTAATAGTTATGCTGTACAATAAGCCTTTTATAAACTATTGCCTCAGACATTAAGCTATTTGATAACCGTGGAGAAAGGAGAAGCAGCAGCAATTGAGAGAATGGAAGGAGAAATGTGAAGCTGGCATAAAGTTTGTGTGTGGAATATGCCAACCAAAATAGTCTTTTGTTATTTCCTGCTTTTCTAAAAAAGCTTGCAAAATTGGATATGACCAATGATAGACATACAGTAACAAAATAGAACTATATAGTTCTGTTTATTCAAACAGTAAAATTGTGTTTTAAATGTTTGCATTTTATTTCTTAGCAGAATTTATTAATCCAACTCAAAATGTGTTTTACACGTTAGAAAACAGGCTTGTGCACTGTCAGTAAAAGAAAAGCCAAGCCCATGCTTTCTGTATCATAGTATGTCTTACTAGTCTTGTCTTTTGTTCTCTCTTTATATAGAACATACATTATGACCCTTTACTGCTAAATATTTCACAATAATAGTAATACTTGCTTACAGAATCACAGCAAAATTTTCAATTTTGGTAAATTTAGCAATCGATACATTGACTTGTGTAATCTGTCCCAGTTATCTCATTTGACCCAGTAATGACCTTTACACCATTTGTCTCCTTCCAGTACTGAATCCAATTGAAGGTCAGGTATTGCAGTTTCTTTTCTATCTTTTTTTTTTTTTTTTTTTTTTTTTTGAGACAGAGTGTCCCTCTGTTGTCCAGGTTGGAATTCAGTGGCGTAATCGGCTCAATGCAACCTCCACCTCCTGGGTTCAAGTGATTCTTCTGCCTCAGCCTACCGAGTGACGGGCTGCAGGCGTGCACCGCTACGCCTGGCTCATTTTTGCGTTTTTAGTAGAGATGGGTCTTACCATGTTGGCCAGGCTGGTCTCCAACTCCTGGCCTCAAGTGATCCACCTACCTTGGCCTCCCAGAGTGCTGGGAGTACAGGCATGAGCCACCCTGTGCAGCAATTTTTTGTGGCCTCATTTAATCTGCAACATCCCCAAAGGTATCCCCCATTGTTTTTGTCTTGCAATTATTTGTATCCCATTTTTATTTTATTTTATTTATTTATTTATTTTTAGAGATTGGGTCTCACTTTGTTACCCAGGCTGGAGTGAGGTAGTGTAATCATAGCTGACTGCAGCCTCAAACTCCTGGACTTATGTAATCCTCCCACCTGAGCCTCCTGAGTAGCTGAGACTACGGGCAGGCGTGTGATATCATGCCTGGCTAATTTAAATTTTTTTTTTTTTTTTTTTTGGTAGAGACGGGTCTCGCTCTGTTGCCCAGACTGGTCTCAGACTCCTGGTCCCGAGTGTGTCCCTCCTGCCTCACAAAGTTCTGGGATCACAAGCAGGTGCCACCATGCCCTGCTATCTGTCCCATTTTTAAAAGTTTAAGGAAATTATGCCTCTTTTTACTTTGTTAGCTTTCTCCAGAGTGAGCAAAGAGTGATTCTTTTGGTTTTTTTTTCCTATTGATAACGTATTGCTTTGGTTTCTGAATCTTAAAACAAGCTTGCATTCCTGGAACAAATCCCACTTGGTTATGGTGTATAATTCTTTTTTTATATTGCTGGATTCAGTTTGCTAGTATTTTGTTGAGAAATTATGCATTTATATTCAGAAGAAATACTAATCTGTAGTTTTCTAGTGATGTCTGTCTGGTTTTGGTAGCAGGGTAATAATAACTGGCTTCAAAGAATAAGTTGGGGAGAATTTGTAAAGAATTGATATTAGTTTTTCTGAAAATGGTAGAATTAGCCAGTGAAGCCATCTGGGCATGGATTTTTCTTTGACAGTGCTTTAAAAAATTAACTGTTTAAATCTTTGGTTTTACAACTACTCAGCTTTTTCTTTCTTTCTTTCTTTTTCTGTTTTTGTTGGTTTTTTTTTTTTTTTTGGAATAATCTCATCAGTGCAGCTTTTTACTTCTTAAGTTTTGGTATTTTGTATTTCTGGGAACTGGACCATTTCATCTAAATTTTCCAATTTAGTTGCACACAGTTGTTCATAAAATTCCTTTATAATTCTTTTTGTTTCTGTAAGGTAGGTAGTAATGTCTTTTTTTTAGTCTTGATTTTAGTAATTTGTCCTCTGTATTTTTGTGGTCAGTCCAGCTAGCTAAAGGTTTGTCCATTTTTATCTTTTCAAAGAATCAGCTTCTGGTTTCATTGACTTTTCACTGCTGTTTTTGTATTCTCTACTTCATTAATTTCCATTCTAATATTTAATATTTCCTTGCTTCTGTCTTGCTTTAGGAACAGTTTACTCTTCTTTTTCCATTATGTTAAAGTAGAAGATGAGGCTCTTGATTTGAGATACCGTTTTTTAGTAGAGGCATTTTCAGGTATTATTTCTAAGCACTGCTTTAATTGTATCTGATAAGTTTTGGTATGTTATGTCTTCATTTTCACCCATCTCAAAGTATTTTCTTATTTCCCATGTGACTCTTTAACCAGATACCTTAGTTTAAAAAAAAAAAAAGTTGTTACAATATACACATTTGAAAGTCATACTGAGGGCTTTAATTGTAGGCCATTGGAGAACAGGAATCCATTGAACCTGATTTACTCCTTTTTACAGGATTCTACTTTATGTGTCTCTCTCTCTACCCATCTAAACCCTCTAAAAATAATCTTGAAATCTAGTGAAGAAACTTGAGTCACTAGTGACAGTCAGTTGTTGGGATAGCTTGTGAAGGCTGGTGGATCCATTTGGTTGTAGCTAATGGCGTGAAAGAATTATTAAAGTTCTATGGTTTTTAATAGGAGTTTGGAAGAAACCTTAGAACCTGTGAAGTCTAATCTTGACCCAAATAGCTGTTTCTTCTAAATATCTCTTGACAGATGGTCATCTAGTTTACATTCCATTTTTTTATATAGAGAAAGGTTTTCACTGTGTTGCCCAGGCTGGTCTTGAACTACTGTGCTCCAGTGATCCTCCTGCCTTGGCCTCCCAAAGTGTTGAAATTACAGAAATCAGCCACAGCATCTGGCCTACATTCCATTTCTAATGTTAATATTTATATCTGCATTAGAAGAAATTATAGTGAGCTTGCTCACCAAATTGTTGAAGATCTGAGAAAGGTACCAAGGCAACAAAATTGGAATCTCAATATCTCAGCAGTATGCAACAGGGATGGAATATAACAAGATGACCTTTTTTCTTTTTTATAAATAATATTTTGTTCTGAACAAGGATGTGTCAAAACAAAAAAGGAAGGTACCCAAACGCAACACACAATGGGTTAGGGCAGGTAGGGGTAAAGCTGGCTTAACAAGGAACCTAAGAAAGTCTCTTAACAGTTTTTGTTGACTGTAAATTATATCTGAACTGATACTGAGGTGTCTTCAAAAAAAAAAAAGCTAACAAGGGCCACGACTGGTGGCTCACACGTGTAATCCAAGCACTTTGGGAGGCCAAGGCAGGCCGATCACTTGAGGTCAGGAGTTCGAGACCAGCCTGGCCAACATAGTGAAACCCGTCTCTACTAAAAATACAAAAATTAGCCATATGTGGTGGTGCGCGCCTGTAACCCCAGCTACTCAGGAGGCTAAGGGAGGAGAATCACTTGAGCCTGGGAGGTGGAGGTTGCAGTGAGCCGAGATTGTGCCACTGCACTCCAGCCTGGGCAACAGAATGAGACTCTTGTCTCAAAAAAAAAATAAATAAAAAAGCCAATGATTTTAGATTGCATTTATGGTAAAACTAAAGCTAATTTAGAAGAGGCAAAATATCCTGAGGAGCTATCGAAGTTTTCAACTATGAAAAAGATGAATTGGTGTGCATGATAGCACCCTTTAAAGATTGGAAATATTGGTGTGAAAGAGATGAGATTTTGGTAGGTTAAAGTTCTGAACAAGGATGTATATAAAAAAAGAAAATGCCAGAACCCCACACACAGTGGGTGGTTGCAGGTGGGGGTAGAGTTTTTTTTAGTTGTATGTTTTTGTTTTGGGCTTCAGTAGTTGGAACTGGAACAATTGGTTGGGTCTCTGTTTCATCAAAGTACTGTGCTGTGGACACAGTGAGTAATAAAAAAATGATATTGGCAGATGTGACTGCATAGAGATTTATTTCTTTAGAGACAGGGTCTCATTCTGTTGCTGGGGCTGGAGTGCAGTGGCATGATTTTGGCTTACTGCAACCTCAGCCTCCCAGGCTCAAGCCATTCTGCCACCTCAGCCTCCCATGTAGCTTGGACCACAGGCACACACCACCACGCCTGCCTAATTTTTGTATGTTTTATGGAGATGAAGTTTCACCACATTGCCCAGGCTGGCGTCAAACTCCTTGAATCAAGCAGTCTGCCCACCTCAGCCTTCCAAAGTGCTAGGATTACAGGCCTGAGCCACTGCACCTGGCCAGGAATTTATAACATAGTTGGGGAGTTAGTGGAAAGCTGCTTTACGACATGATTAAAGAATCAAGAGTTTTTAGAAGAAATTACATTTGAGATAGGTCTTTTTGGATTAGTATTAGTTCTTTTTCTGTTCTATTTACCCTTTGTCGTCTTAGTATGAAAATATTTTATGCTAATTATAGAAGATTTGCAAAAACTCAGGTGTTTAAAGACACAAAAATTAACAAAATCGTAATTGAGTTAACCAGAATTAGTCTCTAGTAAGTTGAGAAGCAAGTAGGTAGCATATGTGAAGTGGTACATAGGAAAGAGCTGGCGTTGGGATAGAATGTGGAAATTATAGAAGTGGTTTGCTATTTTTTGCTTTTCCAAATTTTTTATTTTTTTTTAAATTATTTTTAAAAAATTTTTAATTCTGGATATTTAAAAAAATTCTTAGAGCCCATGAATCTGAAGTATGTAATACAGGTACGTAGCTGAGAAAGTCACATTGTTAGTGAAATTTATAATGAAAACCAGCATTCTCCTATGCTAGGCCTTTCTCACCCTTTTCTTACTCCGGAAAGGTTAACTACTCCCAACTCTTTCCTGCTTCTCCCATTATTTAGCATCACATTTTCAAACAACTTGCTCTCCTGCTGTTTTTTGACATTTCAGTTTGAGATATTTATGGATTTCCTACTATGAAATGTAAAGATGTGGCTTTTATTTTACCCTCTTCCAATATCCATAGTTATGTTTCCACATCCTCCCAATGTGATTTTATCATACTGTGATCTATCCAGTATTTTCATTATTATTGCTGTATAGATATTGTGATATATTATTTACTTTCTTAAACTCTTTTTTTCTGAAGTTAATTACCTTTTTAGTTGCTTACCTTTCAACAAATCTAGCTGAGCCTTTTCACATTCTTTTTTTTTTTTTTTTGAGATGGAGTCTTGCCCTGTCGCCAGGCTGGAGTGCAGTGGTGCAATCTTGACTCATTGCACCCTCTGTCTCCTGGGTTCAGACGATTTTCCTACCTCAGTCTTCCAAGTAGCTGGGATTACTGCCACCATGCCTGGCTAAGTTTTGTATTTTTAGTAGAGACGGGGTTTCACCATGTTTGTCAGGCTGGTCTTGAACTCCTGACCTCATGATCTGCCCACCTCCACCTCCCAAAGTGCTTAGGATTAACAGGTGTGAGCCACCGTGCCCAGCCACCTTTTCACATTCTTTAGCAGTTTCTTAATCCAATTTTCTACACACAGTCAAACCTCAAGTCTGTAGTTTGCTGCCCTTTTTTTTTTTTCCCCCTAAACCTAGAAGCCTATGCAGTGGCTCACCCCTGTAACCCCAGTGCTTTGGGAGCCCAAGCAGGAGGATTGCTTGAGGATGGGCAACCTAGCAAAACTGCATCTCTACAAAAAAAAAAAAAAAAAAAAAAAAAAAAAAAAAATTACCTGGGCTTGGTGGTGTGCATCTGTAGTCCCAGCTATTTGGGAGACTGAGGCGGGAGGATCACCTGAACGCAGGAGTTCGAGGCTGCGGTGAGCCACTATGCCACTGCACTCTAACCTGGGCAACAGAGTGAGACTCTGTCTCCAAATACATATAAACATAAAACCTAGAGACATTTCCCTTGGACTCTGTGTTGTCTTGCACTGCTAAACTTACTATTTAGACATGCTGCTCATTTTAGAGTGCTAGTCATTGTACTGTGGAGCCTTGTAGGTGAGCACTGTTCAGTAGAACTTACTGCATTAATAGGAATGTTCCTTTTCTGCATTGTCCGATACAGTATCCACTAGCCACATGTGGTTATTGAAGTAAGGCTATTGTGACTGAAGAAATAAGTTTTTTGTTTGTTTGTTTTTGAGACGGAGTCTCACCCTGTTGCCCAGGCTGGAGTGCAATGGCGTGATCTCAGCTCACTGCAACCTCCGCCTCCCAGGTTCAAAGGATTCTCCTGCCTCAGCCTCCCGAGTAGCTGGGATTACAGGCACCTGCCAGCATGCCCAGCTAATTTTTGTGTTTTCAGTAGTGACAGGGTTTCACCATGTTGGCCAGGCTGGTCTCCAACTCCTGACCTAGTGATCCACCTGCCTTGGCTTTCCAAAGTGCTGGGATTACAGGCATGAGCCACCACGCCTGGCCAGTTTTTAAATTTTATTCAACTCATATTTAAATATCTACATGTGTAGCTGATGGATATGGAATTGGAAGCACAATTTAAGATGATTTCATACTGAAAAAGTGGGAATGAGTAGGATTTAATGTAATTGATATATTCTCTTTTTAATGAAGGAAAAATGTTAGTGGCCCTAGGTTTTTAAGAGGAATGTTTGAAATAATTCTAGGAATTCCTGGTGAAGAACTCAGTGACAAAGTTTTGACAATTTGAAACATTAATAACATCTTTTGATCAAAGTCCAAAGGTTCTATCAATTACGTGGCCTTGTTTTTATTCTCTTTATAACTGAATTTCAGATTTAAAGTGTGGATGTTTTAGATAACTGATTATTTTGGTATTTTAATATGATATTTTAAAGAGCTGTAAAATCCTATACTGCCTCATAGCATTCTTATGTTGTTTTATGAGTTGCTTAATAAGCACTTTATATAATGCTACACTTACTCTGTAACTAATTTTAAAACATATTTGATTTTGTAGGTAGCTACATCAAGCTGGCTAGCAGGCAGATCCAAAGGATATCATGAAGTTTCCAGGGCCTTTGGAAAACCAGAGATTGTCTTTCCTGTTGGAAAAGGCAATCACTAGGGAAGCGCAGATGTGGAAAGTGAATGTGCGGAAAATGCCTTCAAATCAGGTAATGATTTAAGACCGATTAATTTTATTAGAAATAAGCATACCACTGCCATACATAATAATATCTTGACACTGCACTGGAGGAATTTGTACCATTTAAGGATGTGCTATATTTGAGAGACATCTCCCTGTTTCTTTTTTGTGTAACAGGGTTTCACTCTGTCATCCAGTCTGGAGTGCTGTGGCATGATCTCAGCTCACTGCAACCCGCGCCTCCCGGGCTCAAGCGATCCTCTCACCTCAACCTCCTGAGTAGCTGGGACTGCAGGCACATGCCACCATGCCTGGCTAATTTTTTGTATTTTTGGTAGAGATGGAGTTTCACCATGTTGCCCAGCCTAGTTTGGAAGTCCTGAGCTCAAGCAATCCACCAGCCTTGGCCTCTCAAAGTGCTGGGATTATAGGCGTGAGCCACCATGCCCAGCCTCTTCTTTTTTAAAAACTCCTGCTCCTACTGTAGCCGTTTCTTTCTGAAACAAGAGTTAACTGTTTTTGTTTGTTGACCTGTTTTGTTGTTATCTGAGTTACAGCTTTAGGAATATAGTTAAGTTTGTTTTCTTTCCTCATAATCTATACTAACAGTAGTAATCTTCTTTAGATACATAGTTTATAGTTAGCCAGAGGCTGAACATCTTCATACCATTGTCTTTAGTCAACCAAAAACCTACTCTTTCATCAGTAGCGATAAGGAGTTCATGTGAACTACTAAGGTAATACCAATGTTGGAAGCTTTTTAGAAGATAGCCAGCTGGCCTCTTAACTACTGTTGGCTGTATAGTTTTTCTTGTAGAAATTTTTATACTTCTATCATATATAATTATTTTTCACAAATAACTGTGAAGTTTATCCACTCCAAAAGTTCATCGTATAAGATGTCTTATGTATCTTTTACTCTTAATATCTAACATGGTGCTTGGAAAATAGAATAGTGGTCAAATGTTCTTTTAATATGCATTAGTGAACGAATGGCAAATATGTAAGTTCCTGTGTTGTTTTAGGCTATCCTTTGCTCATTGGTTTTGAAAGCATATATGCCTTTTTAATTCAATTCTAATTTTTCCAACTTATATCATTCTTTCCCACAAGCTGAAGAAATACATTCTTCATTTACTGTTACTTGTCATTTTGCAAACTGATTAGTTAACCTGAATGTGGAGTGTTTATACACACACTATCTCATTTAATATCTCATTTAATCCTTTGAAAAAGTAGGCAGTAGTCCCAATTTACTCAAGACTTTAATAGAATGATAGTAATAGAATGATAATTTGGGCTGGACGCAGTGGCTCTCGCCTGTAATCCCAGCACTTTGGGAAGCTGAGGTAGGCAGATCACCTGAGGTCAGGCGTTCGAGACCAACCATGGTCAACATGGTGAAACCCCGTCTCTACTAAAAATACAAAAATTAGCTGGGTGTGGTGACTCATTCCTGTGACCCAGCTACTTGGAAGGCTGAGGCATGAGAATTGCTTGAACCCAGGAGGCAGAGGTTGCAGTGAGCCGAGATCGCACCACTGCACTCGAGCCTGGGTGACAGGGTGAGACTCCATCTCAAAAAAAAGTTATAATTCGATCCTTTTCCTAAGGTAGTCCTCTTCCTGTGATACTTTTTGTTGTTGTTGTTTTATATTTTTGTGTGCATGTGTGATTTTTAGATTAGTTGGGAATTCAAGTTATTTAGCAAATGTCTGGTGAGTATCTGCCATACTCTAGGCACTATTCTAGGCACTGGGGATACAACAGGAGAAAATAAATTCCTTCCCTTATGTTGTGACATTCTAGTGAGCCTCAAAGCTTTTTTATAGCTGCTTGTAGGACCATTCCTTTCCTCCTCCTGCTGTCTCCTTGAGTCAGCATGTAACCAACAATAATATGTTTTTACAGCCTGGTCTTTGAAGATGATATTCTACCTAGATTGTAGTATATTGCTATATTACCAAATAATCTGACCTATTTCTTTCTTTCTTTCTTTCTTTTTTTTGGTGGAGAAGGAGTTTTTATCTTGTTGCCCAGGTTGGAGTGCAATGGCATGATCTTAGCTCACTGTAACCTCGGCCTCCTGGGCTCAAGTGATTCTCTTGCCTCAGCTTCCCAAGTAGCTGGGATTACAGGCACCCGCCACCACACCTGGCTAATTTTTGTATTTTTAGTAGGGACAGGGTTTCACCGTGTTGGCCAGACTGGTCTCGAACTCCTCACCTCAGGTAATCTGCCTGCCTCAGTAACCCAAAGTGCTGGGATTACAGGCGTGAGCAACCATGCCCAAATCTGGCCTATTTCTGTAGGTGATTTAACAAATACTGGTGTGGTAATACCAGAGAACAGAATAGTATCAGAACTTCTGAGAGAGACCCACTTCTTCAGGATTTGCCTTTAGTAATGCCAAGTAGAAGTCGTATTTAATACTTGTAAAATTTGGGTAGCCTTGGTCTGGTGGGGATAGGAGATAAGAATAGGGGTAAAAGGCTATATAGGGGCTTGAGTTGCTTGCCAGGGTAACCCCCAGGGGACACTTCTCTATTCAATTTTTTTTTGTTGTTTTTTTGTTTTTTTTGAGACAGTCTTGCTCTGTCACCCAGGCTGGAGTGCACTGGCGCCATCTCAGCTCATTGCAAGCTCCGCCTCCCGGGTTCACTCTGTTCACCTGCCGCAGCTTCCTGAGTAGCTGGGACTACAGGTGCCCACCACAACGCCCGGCTAATTTTTTGTATTTTTTAGTAGAGACGGGGTTTCACCATCTTAGCCAGGATGGTCTTGATCTCCTGACCTTGTGATCTGCCCGCCTCAGCCTCCCAAAGTGCTGGGATTACAGGTGTGAGCCACCGCATTCGGCCACTTCTCTATTCTAGTTCTAACTCTTTTATTTTCTTCTAAGGGACTGGCATTTTTTTTTTTTACCTCCCTTTCCACTGTTGCTCTGACTTTTCTAATTTTGTTTTGAAGTGTTGGTAAAAATGGAAAAATAAGGTATTTTTAAGCTTTCTCTTATGCCTTTTTCCTCCAGTTTCCTTCTAACTTCCCCTGCCCCAACTATATTTTGAAGTCAGTCTCTCACATAATTCTTGTTTAATTTGCATCGCCTATCCCCTAATTTAGGACAGCGTGGTCAGGCAAGAATATTATATACCTATCACTCATCTTCTATGTGTTTCTGCCACATTCTGCTTCCCTTATGATAGCACAAAGTATTATAATTTTCTGGTGATCTGACTGTGACGTTCCTTGAGGGGTATGGTTGTGTCATTTTTGTTTACTTGCATATAATAGACTGAAAGGAAGCATTTCAGTGAATGGTGTTTATCATTTCTTGATGATTCATTCAGGTACCTTACTGTGTTCTTGGCACTTGCAGACAACTTCTTTTATAGTATGTAATTGTACTTTCAAGTTCATGATAATTTTGTTACATGAATTTGGGGAAAACATTGAAACTGGTCAAAGTGCACACACTTTCAGGTGTTCTCAATTTATTTTGCCAAAGTGCTTTTGATTTACAAAGATAAAACCCTGCCACAAATTGTTTATATACAGATGATTTTCAGTAGAATTTTAGAACTCTAAGGAATCTTAAAAAACAGGTTGTTAACAACTTTTCTAGTCATTCTCATCTGGAGTTTGGTTTGCTGCTTCCTACTTCATCAAAGCCAAAAGCAAAAATTCGATTATTATTTTTTTTTTTTCTGAGACAGGGGCTCACTCTGTCGCCCAGGCTGGGGTGCAGTGGCTCCATCACAGTTCACTGCAGCCTCTCTTTCCCAGGCTCAAGTGATCCTCCCACCTCAGCCTCCCAAGTAGCTGAGATCATAGGCACGCACCACCACGCCTAATTTTTTTATTTGTGGAGAAGAAGGTTCACTGTGTTACCCAGGCTGATTTCAAACTCCTGGGCTCAAGCAATTTTCCTGCCTTGGCCCCCTACAGTACTGGGATTACAATTGTGAGCCATGCCAAGAAATTTAATTTTTAAAAAAATGTTGAACGTCACAGGTGTAATGAGATGCTGTTGGAGCATAGGAAGGTTACTTAGCCCAACTTGAATTATCAGGAAAAGTACCTGGTGGGGAATAACATCAAAATAGCTCTCAAGAGATACATAATAAAGCAGGCGAGATAGAGAAGGGAGCGCGTTCCAGGCAGAAGGAGCAATACGAACAAAGGAGCAGTGATGTAAAATAGCATAGCAGGGGCAAGGAAGGATCATAAATAGAAGTTACTACTCTTAGAGCATGGAGTTTAAGATAAAGTGATGGAAGATGTTTGAGGTTAGAGAGGTAGGTCATAGATTTCTATGCCATGCTGGGGAATTGTACTTAATCTTTTAGGTAGTGGTGAACCTTTTAGAGTTTAAAGCGGGGGAGGTTGTATATTATAAGGAAGAGACTAGCAGCATGTGGAATATAATATATATACAGAATATATATTAATAGCAATCTATATTTTACCATGTTTGATCAATCCATTATAAATTCTCTTTAGGATTATTTGTTCAACTACTGAATCCTTCTAATCCTATTTGGGCAGTCCATATGAGAAACAGTTCACCTGATGAAATCAGGAAATACTGTTTTGGGCTTTCTCTTTTTCTCTCTCATTCTTTATTTTAGAGGAATAGGAGTGAAATGATAGAGGAATAGGAGTGAAATGAATTACTTAGGCACAGAACTTACTGTTTGTAATGCTGTCATGATAATATTACTGTTTAGTACATGTTTGAATTGATTTGAAAAAGTTACCTTAGACTCAATATTACTTCAGTTAAATTGAGTCTTCTTAAACTGTTATCTTTTGGGTTTTAAAAAAGTTACGGCTAGTTTTGTCTAGTGATGATAACATTGGCCATGCGGGAATTCTTTTCTTGGCCCTATTGTTAAATTTTAGTATGTGGTATCTGGGCCAAACGTAGTGGCTCACACCTGTAATCCCAACACTTTGGGAGGCCAAGGCGGGAGGATTGCTTGAGCCTGGGAGTTCAAGACCAGTCTGGGTAACATAGTGAGACCTCGTCTCTGCAAAAAGTAATATTAGGCCAGGCGCAGTGGCTCATGTCTGTAATCCCAGCACTTTGGGAGGCTGAGGCGGGCGAATCACTTGAGATCAGGGGTTCGAGACCAGCCTGGCCAACATGGCAAAATCCCATCTCTACTAAAAATATAAAAATTAGCCAGGCGTGATGGCACAAGCCTGTAATCCCAGCTACTTGGGAGGCTGAGGCAGGGAGAATTGCTAGAACCCAGGAGGTGGAGGCTACAGTGAGCTGAGATCGAGCCACTGCACTTTAGCCTGGGTGACAGAACAAGACTGTACCTAAAAAAAAAAAAAAAAACCGGGCATGGTGGCATGTACCTCTGGTCCTAGCTACTTGGGGGCGCTGAGGTGGGAGGATCACTTGGGCCTGGGAGGTTGAGGGTGCAGTGTGCCATGGTTGTGCCACTGTACTCCAGCCTGGGTGACAGAGCAAGACCCTGTCTCAAAAAGATATATATATGGAATATTAAAGTTCAAAGTTATTGTCATGATTTCTTTCATGACTAATTGTTACAGTGTTTAAAATAACTATTCATGTATAATATTTTGTAAATTTGTTTTTCTGACATTGTTAGATAATTGGGTAGTTTAGAGGTAGGAAAGGAGAACTAATAAAATTGGAGTGCCATTTGCATTCTATATATGTGCTTTACATAAGTTATGTCATTTAGTTATAACTATATGATAATCTCCATATAGCTATATTCTCTTTTTTTGTATATTACCTTTTGTGATTCTTCTTACAATTGTATGTTTCTGTTATTATTTAATGCCAAACACCAAATAATGACATTGTTTAATGTAATCTGTCATTCAGGGATTTTTTTTTTCTCCCACATCGTATCTCTACCTGAAGGTTGGAGTTAATGGTGTTCTTGTTTTCATAGCTACTGTAAATCATTGTTCCTTTCATCTCCCTAAAGCCTCCCCAGTTTCATCAGTTTATAACATCACCTATGTCTCCTGGGAATTTATTCCCTTGTTGTTGATGTGTTTGGCTGGCTTACTTAACATTACTTTTCCTTATTTGTTGTGGCATTTTGGATAAAAGCTCATCTTGATAGGAATTTAATTTCTCTTGAATGCTTAACTCTTCATCCAGAAGTCCTGTGACTGGCTTTACTTGGTTCTCAGGGATTTTTATGAACCCTTAGTCCAGAAGTAGATCTTAAAGTAGCCTAGATACAAAATTACAGCTAGATATGAGGAATAACTTCTAGTGTTCCATACCATTGTAGGCTTACTGTGGTTAACTTAGGAGATATAAATGAACTGTGATAACAGAATGATAGCCCATTTAAAAACTGAAATCAATAGTAATAAGTGAAAGTTACCAGGGGCAACAGATGAATTATACATTTAGAGATAATGAAAAAATACTGAATAGGAAATCAACCTGAAGTAAATGACTGTTTTGAAAGATTTCCACAAACACAAAACATTGTTGTTGTTTTAATCTTCCTATATATTATTTGAGTATTCTCCTTATAGCTCTTTCAAACTGTTTGAAACTACAGTTTGAAAGAGCTATAAGGAGAATACTGAATGTTTCCGACATAAACAACTGGTTTTATTTTTTTAATGGTGACTCCAAAACTCAAGAGTAAAAGTTTTCTAATCACTATTAAAGTGTGTCCCTGCTAAAAATTAAGTCTATACTCAATAGGCTTACAACAGCAATAAAACAATAATGTTTTGTGTTTGTGGAAATCTTTCGAAATAGTAATTTACTTCAGGTTAATTTCCTGTTCAATTTTTTCATCATCTCTAAATGTATAATTCATCTGTTGTCCCTGGTATCTTTCACTTATTACTATTGATTTTAGTTTTTTAAATGGGCTATCGTTTCCATTATCATAGTTCATTTATATTTCCTAAGATAAGTTAATGGCTATTTGCTGCGGGAGAAATTCACTATATTTTCTTAATCTTAGGAGTTGGGGGAACTTAACTCCAAAATTACTATCAGTTGATAATAGTGTTACTTAAACTTTAAAGTGTTATATTTTCTGAACACCTAAATTTAATTAAACTATGGATATTTGGTGAGATGACAGTGAAAATTTTAATATAGTAGGAGAATATTGGATATTGATATTAAATGTGATAACCAATAAAGTTTTATTTTCATCTGTCTCAAATCTGATAGATTGTGAATAACCTTAACATTTTTAAACATTTTTAAACATAAAAGTGAGGTAGTATTACCTCACTTTTTATGAGAGAGAATTCTAAACATACTCTTGATGATAGCTCAAACTTTGTCTTATGTTTTTAAAATTGTTCCCTTATAGAATGTTTCTCCATCCCAGAGAGATGAAGTAATTCAATGGCTGGCCAAACTCAAGTACCAATTCAACCTTTACCCAGAAACATTTGCTCTGGCTAGCAGTCTTTTGGACAGGTTTTTAGCTACCGTAAAGGTAAGTGTTTTAAGATAGACTTACATATAATCTCATTTGAGTGTACATATGCTAAACCAGAAGCTATTAGTAAACATTCTTTAAGGTAGAAAGAAGTGGAGAACTTTGCTGGAGAATGATATATGTACCCATAAGAAGACGTGGTGATGTGTTCTGCTATTGTTTATTTTAGTTTTATTTTTTGAGATAGTTTCACTTTGTTGTCCAGGCTGGAGTGTTTCTGCCTCCTGGGTTCAAGTGAGTTTTGTGCCTCAGCCTCCCACGTAGTTGGGACTACAGACACGTGCCACCATGCCAGTCTAATTTTTGTATTTTTAGTAGAGACAGGGTTTTGCCATGTTGGCCAGGCTGGTCTTGAACTCCCGATGTTAAGTGATCAGCCTGCCTTGGTCTCCTAAAGTGCTGGGATTACAGGCATGAGCTACCGCTCCTAGCTTTCTACTAAAAAGCAGAAGTGTTTTTGGAAGTGTTTCTAATTGTATTCTGTAATTTTCTTTTTGTTACAAGTATTCATAACTTTTTAGCCTATGAAATTTTCTATCTCTTGATTTTAGCACAAACCATATAGCATCAGCTGAATATTTTGTCATTTTCTAACATATTGATGTACAGAGGTGGACAAGGAATCAGACTAAAGTATAAGCTTATTGCACGTTTTTCTCTGTCACTACTTATTGAATATCCATACTATGTGGCTTTCTGAAAAATGTGAAGTGCTTTCTATGGGCATACTTTGGGATATAACAAAATGTCATAAAACAACCTTGGTATATTTTTGTTGAATGGCAGCATACAAATAATTAGGTTTTATATTGTCCCCATTGTTATGTCATTGGCTGTGTCAAGTTAGTAAGTAGGCCCTCAACATATTTAAAGCAGAAAATGAGCATTTATTTAATGGCAAGGCATGAAAGAGTAGCAAAGTATTTTAACTGTAGGCATTAGTATGCATAAGAATATGTAAACTGGGGGAACTGTCAATTAAAATGCTTTATTAGGTATACAAAATAGAAGCCAAAGAATTAAGGAGTTTAAGACTGAATAGCCGCTGAGTTTCAAACTTCTACTCTTAAGAGACTTACTAAACATGACAGGACCCAATAAATAAGAAATATGAAAAAAATGAGATACTTAGCAGAATTCTCTAATTGTTCCAGAAATTTCCCCAACTTTGTTGCAAATGTTTAATAAACACAGCAAGAATATCATGATAGAAACTACAACAATGTGTTCACTAATAGTTTTTGAAAAATATACTGTCCCAGAAAGGACACTAACCTTAAACTCATCTTTCTGTGGAATTATCTGTGAAAAGTAGGTTAGATGTAGTGGAGAGGGAGGGAGGAGTGATGTGGACTTGTTGCTGAGATAAAAGTAGGCATTTTTCAGATATCCCAGATTGCAAGCAGCTTTAAAAAATGTTTACATACACACAAAATATATTTTTTAATTTGGGGAATATTATTAAAAACTTCTAAATCAGACTTTTTTTTCTGCTGGATGGAAATGAACTTTGGCTAACTGGCTTTGGTTGAACTTTGAGCAATGGAATTTATATTATTTTTGTAGAATATCATATGGCTAGGATTGTAATGTTAAAAGTTAGCCTTGGAGACACTTGATCTTCCAAGTGTACTTTCCTTGCTTTCATTACTGCTCTAAAGCTTTTCAATAAACTTCTTTCCTATTCTTAAAAAAGTTAGCTCTGATCTAAAAAGCAGTGACAGTCATATTAATTGAATTCCATAGCATTTTTTATATACCTGTCTCATCTGTATATCTCTGTTTTTAAAACAGTTATAAAAAGTTCAACCGTTTTTGAAAAATCAATAAAGTTGCTTTTTCCCTCTTCAAAATTTTAGGCTCATCCGAAATACTTGAGTTGTATTGCAATCAGCTGTTTTTTCCTAGCTGCCAAGACTGTTGAGGAAGATGAGGTAATAAATCCTTTCAAAATGTTTTTCTGTGAAAATTTCTCTCCATTAACTTGCTTCTTGTTTGCCAAAACAAAAATCGTAAATGAGTTTCTTTCTGTCCTTTTCTCCCTGTCCCTGTTCCCCTTTGCTTTGAATAGAGAATTCCAGTACTAAAGGTATTGGCAAGAGACAGTTTCTGTGGATGTTCCTCATCTGAAATTTTGAGAATGGAGAGAATTATTCTGGATAAGTTGAATTGGGATCTTCACACAGCCACACCATTGGATTTTCTTCATATTGTAAATATACCTGAAGTCTTTTAGTTTCTTATTTGAGTGTGTAGCCTTCAGTAAATTAAAAATTAGATTGCCTACTCATTTATTTTGTACTGGTTTTTAGGAAAAAGAAAACTATTGATATCCAAGGAAAAATTATAAATTAGTATATATGTCATATCACTGAAGCTTAAATCACAAACTTAGAAGTTGAATAGGTTAGGCTGGGTGCAGTGGCTCATGCCTGTAATCCCAGCACTTTGGGAGGCTGAGGCAGGCGGATCACTTGAGGTTAGGAATTTGAGACCAGCCTGGCCAACATGGCAAAACCCTGTCTCTACTAAAAATAGAAAAATTAGCCGGGCATGGTGGTGGGCACCTGTAATCCCAGCTACTCGGGATGCTGAGGCAGGAGAATTGCTTGAACCCAGGAGGCGGAGGTTGCAGTGAGTTGAGATCATGCTACTGCACTCCAGCTTGGGCAACAGAGTGAGACTCTGTCTCACAAAAATACCAAAACAAAAAAAAAAAAAAAAATTGAATAGGTTGCATCAGTTTCTATATGTAATTTCCTATATATTTAAATCAAGTTAAAATGATGTTTTTGTGATTTTCAGTTCCATGCTATTGCGGTATCAACTAGGCCTCAGTTACTTTTCAGTTTGCCCAAATTGAGCCCATCTCAACATTTGGCAGTCCTTACCAAGCAACTACTTCACTGTATGGCCTGCAACCAACTTCTGCAATTCAGAGGATCCATGCTTGCTCTGGCCATGGTTAGTCTGGAAATGGAGAAACTTATTCCTGATTGGCTTTCTCTTACAATTGAACTGCTTCAGAAAGCACAGGTAGGTGTCAGTCTAATTAAATAGTGTTCTTTTTAAGTTTTTCTATTATTGGAATACATAGAGTTACCAAACCGAAAGACATTTCTAATGTTGTAATGGCAAGCCATTCTTTAGACAAGAGTAAAGTATATATTTTAAATTTACAGGCTAGATGTTCTCTTGTTTTCTTATAAAACATATAGTGGCTGGGCGCGGTGGCTCACGCCTATAATCCCGGCACTTTGGTAGGCCGAGACGGGCGGATCACGAGGTCAGGAGATCAAGACCATCCTGGCCAACACGGTGAAACCCAATCTGTACTAAAAATACAAAAAAATTCTCCAGGCATAGTGGTTGGTGCCTGTAGTCCCAGCTACTCGGGAGGCTGAGGCAGGAGAATGGCGTGAACCCAGAGGGCAGAGCCTGCAGTGAGCCGAGATGGCGCCACTGCACTCTAGCCTGGGCAACTGAGCGTGACTCTGTCTCAAAAAAAAAAAAAAACTTATATAGTATTTTTAAGATTCCTTTGCACCATTTCTCTTAGATTACTTATCTTTAACAATTATAAAATGTTCATAAGATTGTCAGTACCATATTGTCCTTTATCCTGGCTACATCTGCAGGTTTTAATGTAGTACTTCTTCACTCATTTTATAATGGATGTCAGGAACAAAAATTAGAATAAGTTGCTTTTTAGACAAGCAGATAATTTATTGTTGGCTAGTAAGTGAAGTATTTATACCAGACTGGCAGGTAGAAGCCACTTTTCTGAAAGAGGTTTTGCCCTGGCACTTCTGTTATTACCTTAGATTAGTTTGTAACAATCTACAGATTGTTATAAAATGTATAGGTTGATAAATTATCCACCACCTAAGTAAAATGTAAAGGTTCAGTAGAGAAAATTCTCATCCAAATGGAAAGTTGGTAAGAGTGCTGTATGTTAGCAACTACTTTGAGAGAAGCCTTACTGGTTCTATTCATGTCACCAAATAGAACTTACCAAGTTTAGATCTGCTGCAAACCATTTCCTGCCAGCTGAATCCATAAAAGACTCATGAACCTACTTTCCCTTTATATGGCTATTTATTCTTATTTAACAGTAGTTATTCTGATTTGTTTTATTGGATTTTACTTAGAAGATTGTGAAATTCTAAGCTTAACATTTTGCAATAAACTAATTGTAGCAAAGAACTGCAGTTATTGAGCTAAAAATTTAGAATATTATAAAAGAAAAACATAATAGTTGAATTTGGTGTTTTTCTAAGAAAGTTATAATTGATCTTATAGCAAACATTTTAAGAAGTATGTCTGAAGAAAATGAAGCAGACAAAAAAGAGTTTTTTTTTTAAACAAGTATGTCAGTGCTTTCAAGAATTTTAGGCTCTAGTTTGTGAGCAGAGGGGGACTCAGTCTTTTCATAAAAAAGGTTGATGATCAGAGCAGTATGTTAGCTAGAGATCTACTTGTGTAGTGTAACACGGGCTGTTTTTTGTTTTCAAGGGATATCTTAATCGTCTTAGATTGAAATAATTAAATGCTATAATGAAAATTCTACGAAGTAATTGCTCATGAGAATTTTTAGAAATTATGAGAAACCATCATTTAAAAGAATAATATGACACAGAAAATTTACTTTGCTCACCCCGGACTGTTGGAAAGAAAAGTTGAATATTAATCACTCACATTAGACTGTGAAGTAGAGGAATAGGCTTAATAGAAAACCTCCTACATTACATTATTTTTAAATGCCTTCTGACTTGGTCTCTGTGCTTATTCTCAAGATAGTGCAGAAAAAGATTGCTCTAAAGTGTTAGTGTCAGAGGACAGATTTTGAAGCATAAATAATAATGTAAATAGCATGTGTATTCTGTAGCTTTGAGATCATGTTTTCCTAGTGAAAAACACTGGAAAATCTCCTGATTCTCTTTTGTAAGTTTTCTGGTGCTAGAGGAAGAAAGTATTCACTGAAACTTTTTTTTTTCTCCTTAGCTGAAGGAGTATTACAAATGTGGGATTTGACAGAATCTTTGGAGAAATTGTTTCATTCAACTCCTTTTATAGCTCCAGTGTAGGGAACTGGAGACTTTCTTAGAGCTGCGTAGAGCTACTTAGTAGTGATTTAAAAGAACCAGTGCTTTTTTTCATACCACACAAACCTTAAAAAATTCTAGTTCAGTGGTTTTCACAATTTGTTTGAGAAGTGGAACCCTTTCCCAGTCCCCCTTCCCCCAAGAAAATCTTGTACACACACAATCCCAGAATATAGAATAGAAAAGTGGAGCTATACTTGTTGTGTTTAAGGGCAGAGCCCCACTCAACATAGCCTTTTCCCTTCCATAGTTAGAGATCTACCTATGTAGTGCAGGTTTAGATTATATTATGTAGGTAGTGTTTGGACGTAGTTTGAAAACTGGAAATACAGTGATTTTTTTTTTTAAAGAGATTTGCCCCATGTAGTCTTCAAGTTGCAATGGGGAAGTTAGTGAAGAAAAGGAAGGTCATAAATCTTGGTAGAGACTTTTGGGACTTGTTCTAGCCGTTCTGCTCTAACACCAACCCATGTGGTCCAAACATGGATGGCTCCTAGTTCTTTAGGACTCATTTCTGTTTTTTTGCTAGGTTTCCTGTGTTCAGGTAGGAACACCAGATATAATATCTTTGTGTTTAGACCTGTGACAAGGCCACAATATCAGATACTCTTCCTAGTTTTAGTATAGGAAATTCTTGAATCAGATTGATGAGATCATGCCGAAATCATTTGTGACATGTTTCCCAGTGTCTTGGTTTGAGAAGAGTCCATCACAGACATATCGTACTGTGAGGAGGCCACTCCCATTAGTTCTGCCTGAGCCCCCACTTTGAGAGAAAAGTATGGTGAGTGTTCCCAGGTTTGAAAGGCAAACTTCCTTTTGTTCCTCTTAACCTCCCACAACTACACCCCTTAAGCTCTTGTGCCCACCTGTTGGTCACCATTGTGGGATGGCTAAACCTCTCTCTCCTTACCCTTCTTCTACCCTTGCTCTGTTGTGGGGTTGTGCCCACGTCTTCCTCTTTCTGATGTGGCCCACTCTGATAAACTCAGACCGTTAACTCTAGCTAGATTAGTGTGCTGGTCTTTGTAGTTCCTAGCTGGGCAGTAGTCAAAGTCCATGTTCTAGTTGTAGAGTAGGTGCAGCCATAAAACAGAACAAAATCATGTCCTTTGCAGCGACATGGATGCAGCTGGAGGCCATTATCCTAAGTGAATTAACACAGGAACAGAAAACCAAATACCACACGTTCTCACTTACAAGTGGGAGGTAAACATTGGGTACACGTGGACATAAAGATGGCAACAGTAGAAACTGGGGACTACTAGAGCGGGGAGGGAGGGAGGGGAACAGGGGTTGAAAAACTGTTGGGTACTGTGCTCATTACCTGGTTGACAGGATCACTTATACTCCAAACCTCAGCATCATGCAATATATACCTAGGTAATAAACCTGCACATGGGTACCCCCTGAATCTAAAAGTAAAAAGAAGCAAATTAAAAAAAAAAAAAAGGAAGAAACAGACCTCTTCCCACACATCTCCTGGTTTTTGGAAGGTGGCTGTGGTCAGACTATTCCAGCAGGTTCCTCAGTGCTTCATGCTGTTCACCAAACCTGGATCCATGTGGGCCTACCATTTATGTCATTTATTGTTATAAAAAAAAATAAATATTCTCTTGACACCTTATAATTAGAGTTCATTTAAGTCCTTTTTACCAACACCATTAGAGGACTTGTCTGGTGTCGAGAGTTTTGGTAGTTTCAGTATATGTGCTTGTTTTGTTTCTTCCACTGGATCTCAAGAAGGAACAAATTATTTTGTCATCTTATAGAACAAATTCAGATTGTACTAGATTAGAAGGAATTTATTTTGATGTTATTTTGGAGAAAAGACTTACTTGGGACTTGGGTGGAAGTGGAGTTCATATGGATGGTTTTGTTTTGAATAATTTCTAAGGTCTTTTCTAGCTCTATCATTTTTTGTCAGTCTTCCACCTCTAAAATATAACTCTCTACTTACTTAGTTTTTTTACACAGAAAGATGATAGTGACAGTCTTCCTCTTACTTAAATACATGTCTCTTTTTAGGATTCTACCATAGTATTGATTCTGCCATGGCATTTATTATGCCCAGTGACCAAGGCATTAGAATATTTGTGGTACCTTTACCTTTCTAAGCCAATAAATATCATTCATTTGCTAAAGAACATTTCATTAAACGAGGTACAGTTGGCTTTCCATATCCATGGGTTTGGCATCTGGATTCAACCAACGTGAATTGAAAATACTTAGGAAGAAATTTGACAGAGTTCCAAAAAAACCTTGCATTTGTTGCACGCTGAGTACTACATTGAATCCACACAGATGAAGTGATGTGTAGGCATTCTGGGTTGTTGGGTTTGTTGAGCATGTTGGGTTTTGTTATCTTTTGGGGGATCCTAGAAGTAATCCCCCATGGATACTGTGGGATGACTGTACTTATTTTTCAGAAATAATTTCTACACTGTAGCCCCTTTTTCACTCCCAGTTTCTTTCATTTCTTTTTTGTAGGCTTCCTAAAATACTGGCAGAAGCTCCATCCTTTCTCTTTGCTTTGTTCCAATATTTTTAGCATGTTTCAGCTTGTTCTACATCCCTGGGATATATAATAAGACCTAGCCTAAATGTAAGCTTGATAGTTCAGGGACTATCTTAAGTGTTACGTACCTTTTTTCTTTTAAGGGAGGGAGAACAAATTCTAATACTAGTTAATAGTATCTTACCCATAGTGTGTTATCTAATACCTTTCAAACTAGGGGAAAAAAAGAAATCAGTGAACAATATGATGGTAGATGCTAAAATCTGCCATTTTGTTGTATATTTCTGACAGTTTCAGTTATTTTGCATTTGTATTATACAATGACTAACATCAGCCTTTTACCATTCTTTCCTCTGGTATTTTTCAGTAACAGATAATGAATGTATTTAGAGATAAAAATAATTTTGTGATCAAATGTGTTCTTGTAGAGTACGTTATTTTCCCTTATTTTCTCTGTGGTATTGCAAACAGTCATGGTGTGTGCTGCAGGTTATATGAGGATGAATAAGACTTGGTCCAGAAATGTCCAAAATACCCAAAACTGGAAGGAATGGGCAATACAATTTCAACAGGTAGAAATAAGATGATTAAGGGTAAAATAAGAAAGGGGAAGATTAGTGCATCGTATAGAGCAGGACTGTTTAGCAAGAGTGTAGACCACAAGTTGAGGGTATGCTAGGAAATAAGGCTAGAAAAGAAGGTTGGGGTCAGATTATGGAGATCCTTATTAATAAAACTAAGGAGTTTAGCTTATTTCTGGTAGGCATTGGGGTGCTGCTGAAGAGAGTAGGGAAGGAATATATGATGCTAACTAAGGTTATTTTGACAATGCTGTAACTGAAAGTGAGGAAGAGAGACACTTTACTACAGGTAATAATTTGAAGGCCTTCCATGTACAGTCATTGTGCCAGAAAGTTAGGGATAAAAAGATGAATATAATACAATGCCACACCTTCGGTCTTGTAGTCTATAATGGAAAGGCTAAATGGTTAAATAGATTATTATAATGCAATGTGGTAAATATGTTAAAAGGTTTTAGTGTCTTTTTTTTAAGACAGTCTCACTCTGTCTCTTTGCCTGGCTGGAATGCAATGGCTTGATCTCACCTCACTGCAACCTGTACTTCCTGGGCTCAAGCCATTCTCATGCCTCAGCCTCCTGAGTAGCTGGGTTTACTCATCTACCAGCACGTCCAGCTAATTTTTTGTATTTTTAGTGGAGAAGGGGGTTTCACCATGTTGGCCAGGCTGGTCTTGAACTCCTGGCCTCAAGCGATCCACCCGCCTTGGCCTCCCAAAGTGCTAGGATTATAGGCATGAGCCACCATGCCTGGCCATAAGTATGTTAAAAGGTTGATACAGAAACAGATGACCATGGTATTTAGGGTGTTTGAGGGGTTGAGGGAGTCAGGGGTAACTCCAGAAAGGACTGATACCTGTGAATTGTCCTCAGGGGTAAGAAGGAATTAGCAAAACTCCCAAATTAAAATCTTTACGAAAAACATTACATCTTAGTGTTGTCTACTATTTTCTACAAAATATATATTTCTAAATTTTTCATTTACTATTTTAAAATTCTTAGCTTCCCTCCTCATCCCTGATTTAAAAAAAATTTTTTTTTGCCCTTTGGCTTCTTACATTCTTAATGAATGTGTTTATGAGTACTTTGGACTCCACTGAAAAAATTATAAGAGGCCAAGAGAGTAGGATGAAGGGCTTTCTAGACGGGGAACAGACTGAAAAAACAAAAACAAAAACAGATGTTGGATACAAAAAAGTAGTTTCTCCTCTCATGTAAATGTTCAGCATACATTGCAAATACAGAACTCAAGTTCCAAAGATAATTATATTAGAAATACAGATTTGGACCTGATTTCTAAGATGATGATGATGGATGGGTAAGCTGGATAAATAGATGAGTTGGAGGTAGAAGATGTGGGGAGAGAAAAGACTCAGCAGGGATGGAAAGCACAGGGAGGAAAAATGGCCACCAGAGATAACAGAGCAGCCTATGTTAATTAATGATCAACTGTGTTTTTGTTTTTGTTTTTTGTTTTTTTTCCTGGCCCAGATGGATAGCTCCCAGTTGATCCACTGTCGGGAGCTTGTGGCACATCACCTTTCTACTCTGCAGTCTTCCCTGCCTCTAAATTCCGTTTATGTCTACCGTCCCCTCAAGCACACCCTGGTGACCTGTGACAAAGGAGTGTTCAGATTACATCCCTCCTCTGTCCCAGGCCCAGACTTCTCCAAGGACAACAGCAAGCCAGAAGTGCCAGTCAGAGGTGCAGCAGCCTTTTACTATCATCTCCCAGCTGCCAGTGGGTGCAAGCAGACCTCTGCTAAACGCAAAGTAGAGGAAATGGAAGTGGATGACTTCTATGATGGAATCAAACGGCTCTATAATGAAGATAATGTCTCAGAAAATGTGGGTTCTGTATGTGGCACTGATTTATCAAGACAAGAGGGACATGCTTCCCCTTGTCCACCTTTGCAGCCTGTTTCTGTCATGTAGTTTCAACAAGTGTTACCTTTGAGTGTAAACTAAGGTAGACTACTCTGGGAATGAGAACATGCAAAATCAGGAAAGGCTGTAGAAGGATATATACCTTAACAGGCTGATTTGGAGTGAGCCAGAAAAAAAAAAAAAAAAAAAAAACAACTATCATTATTTGTGTGGCTAATTATAATTCAGTGTTATTTAAACACATAAGGACCAACAAAAAAAAAAGAAAATCCAAAAGATCCACACTTTTTTTAAACTTAAAAAACCTCTTTGTAGTATGCCAGTTGCACTTTTTTCCTGCCATAATGTAACGTAGCTTGCCCCATCAAAAATTCAGTTAAAATTCATAGCCAGCAAACCTGTTCCCCCTCAGCATCCTGATTTAATTTTGCTTTTGCTTGCTTCTCCATTTAAGTTACTGAACTTTATGCATGCTGATCTGTATTGATTCTCACTGAATAGGAAACCCCAAAATTATTTTTTAGCAGTCAAACAAATTATTTCAGTGTGACAGCCATGATGCAAGTTCCAATTAGTATGAAAGGGTACTTTGGAATTGTCCCATATTAATCAGAGACAGCAACAGAAAAAGTTCTCATATTACCAGGTTGATTTTGTGTCTCATTTCAAATTTTAATTTAAAATTATGGTTTTCATTTTTGTTTACCTTAAAGTGATGCTTAAAAGTGGTATGTAATTAGGACACTTAGATTTGTTGAAAGCATTTTTGACATTTGTATAAAAGAATTTGTGATAAAGTTAATATATCCAGGTGCTCACCAAAGAAACATGTATGTAACAACTGAAATTAGATTTTTCTAACTGATAGTTTTCACTCATTTATAATCAGTAGGAGAGACTGTCTAGATGTTGGGGCAGCTCTGTGATTTGAGTCTGTAACATGTTATAACTGAATTTAGTACCCTAGTTTTGTTAAGCTATTAGGATTTTCTAATAGAACTTACTCCCCACCTGCCTCCCCAGCCTACTTATAGTTCTCTTAATGACTTCTGGATCCTGAGCTCCCTTTGCAGTCTGAAAAAGGTATTGCAGTCAGAACCATGTACTGATGATAAAAGCCTCTGGTAGCAATAAAAAGTTGTCCTTAACTTTTGTTTCTGTGACTTTTTTCCAGTTGTGAAGAGGTACAGGTTCCTGATTGGCTAGGCACTGCTATTTCAACTAGAGAAAACAATAGAAAGACCAAGAATATACTTACTGAAAATGAAACATGAAGAAAAGAGGATTTGAATGTGATCGAGGGATATAGGTTTTACACATAAGAATTTTTCTTTTATGGTATTTTTTCACTAGTGCACTGTGAATCCTCCAAATAGTAAATTTTCATCTTAATATGACTGCTTGTGAGAGTAGGCTCAGACCGGTATCTTTAAAATGTCATTGTTAGCCATTTTTAATGTTCAGATTTAGCAGAACAAGAGTATTTTCAGGTCATCATCTGACTTGTAAAAAATTCTTGTGGTAGGGTTGACTACCTGTTTTATGACCTTAAACTCCAATTAAATGGGAAGCATTTATTCACATGTCAGTACAGGGAGTGGGAGGGAAGATAGCGAAGGATTGACTTCACAGATACACATTTTAAAAATTTCTCTTCCTGATCTTTATCTGTTTAAGGAGCTCTAAGAAGTTTACAACTGCGTATGTTCATAGTATCTGTAAAATGATACAGATCTGTAGAACTTCCTTCTATTTAACAGATGAGGACATCGTTGTGTTATGTAGAAAGCTAGGGATAAAACAGTTTAGAGTCAATATTTCATTTGTAGTCCAGTAGCTGTAAATTGAGCAGAACATTAGAGGACAATAGAATTTTCACTTTTTGGTCTTAAGGTTTTCAATATTTAAAAATTGCTGGTAAGTTAGTTTGGAATACAGCGTTCCTTTCATGGCACACCAAATCAAGTGGGATGGTGGGCTGCTAGCCCTCACACCTCAGAACTTGTTTAACCACATCATTCAGTTCAGTGATAGTACTTTGGAGACTTGGCCCTCGAAAGCACTGTTAAACCTTGGCCACCATTTCAGAGGCCTGAGCCCACTTCATCACAACTTACTGTGGGCCCTTAGAGAACTGTGGCTTGTGACAGAAAGAGCCTAGTATTCTTAAACAGTGTAGAACTTTTCATTAAGAATGTTCCGGTTGGGCGCGGTGGCTCACGCATGTAATCCCAGCACTTTGAGAGGCTGAGGCAGGTGGATCACGAGGTCAGGAGTTCGAGACCAGCCTGACCAACATGCTGAAACCCCGTCTCTACTAAAAAATACAGAAATTAGCCGGGCATGTAATTCTAGCTACTTGGGAGGTTGAGGCAGGAGAATCGCTTGAACCCAGGAGGCGGAGGTTGCAGTGAGCCATCGCACCACTGCACTCTAGCCTGGGCAACAGAGCGAGACAAAAAAAAAAGCCTGTTCCTGCTGTTCAATTAGTTCCCTTTTTGCCTGAAACTATTCTCTGCCTATCCCAAGTTAACTTGTGTTAAATTTTGGCATCACATCACAAACTCAAGACCTGGAAACTTGAGCATTCTGCATCGTAATTGTCTGGTGCCTCCTGGTGGTTAAAAAACCGGTTGCTTCGTGAGGCCTCTGGAACGGCAAGGAATATACTTGATGGGGATAGTAGTTATTCTCTAATCCTCCATTCAAAAAACAAAAAAAACCCTAAAGAACATGTTATAGCCCTTGAAGATCAGACTAGAAGCTAAATATTTTATGTCATTCTCTACGAGATCAATATGAAGTTAGTTATATATAGAACTAGAAGTTTTCTCTACAGATATATGATGTATTAGTTTGGAGGAAGAAGGTAAAGCTGGGAATGCAGAGTGCTCCCAAATGTCAGTAAAAGGTCAAATATAACCAGTTTATCATAAATGTTCCTGATGCTGCCTTTGGCTGTGAAGGAAGGTAGAATGTAGCTCTTCACTCAGCCAAGCTGATGAGAATCTGAACCTACGTTCTTGTTGAGAGAATTAAGACACTGGTGTTTGTGCCCCCAAGAAGTCCTATTTATTGTCTCCTGTGTTGTCAGAGCCAGCCACTTCTGTGTGTCCTCTGTACTCTCTACAAACCTGAATTTTCAAGCTTTTAAATTTACTCCTAGATTTCTTGAAGCAAGTTATGCTTGAGCATTAGTGCCCAAAGCAGCATGGTGGCCTTTCACTTGAGAAGAAAATGTGGTTAAGCTACTGATGCACAGCCAACATGATGAGGAGCTTATCTTTATCTACAGTAGTTTGCACATTTTCAACTGGCAAGTGAAGATACTATGTCACAATTCTCACAATCAAATTGGCAGAATGCAGCCCCAGTTTAACAGGGTTCAAATTCTAACTCCTCTCAAACCTTTACCCTTTCTATTTGACATCATAAAGTTTTGTCTAACATGTAAATGTTACTTTTAAAGCCTCCAAAATTCTTTTAGTCTTTAAATTATGTTGAGAATGTCTCCTATACCTGTTATCAAATAATGCTATGAGCTTTGGCCACTAGATGGTGCTTCTAGAAAAATGCAGCATCTTTTTAAATTTCTGGGAAAAAATGAGTTGACTGTATGTTAGCAGTTGAACACTCATCTGGTTGCTAAGCCAACTGTGTTGGCTTAGTTAGAAGTTCACATTACTTAAGGTACAGGAGGCCTGTGTGTGTGAGACTGAGGGAACTTTGGCAAGATCAGCCAGGGTTAAGGGGCAGATGGTGACTGGATGCCACGATTCAGACCAAGAAAAACCAGAACCAGTCTTACAAATCCCAATTAGTGAGTTGTGTGGTTCTGCAAAGTAGCCTAGAAATACAATTGAGAAGGCTTGAATATAGCCAAGTCCCAAAACCTTGCTGCTTTCAGTTTGAGTTGGATTTGGCCCATCATTAGGAGAGAAAAGATGAAGAGCACACTTACTTAGCACAGCTTGCATCAAGGAATTAAATAGCAAGTTTTCCCTCACCATATTTAGTGGCTTTTATGATGCACTCGTATGTAAGACCAATGTCAGAGACATAACTCTCCCTTGTGCCACTTTTTACTTTAAAAGGTGTAATAAGATAACCAAGAATGTCTTATCAGATAGAAAAATTTGAGAAGAGCTCACTTTTTTAGTTCCTAGGAGCTTCTGGAGTTAAGGATGAAATGAGAACCTCTGCCTTTCTCTTAACTCTAGAAGTATAGCCTTCATAGCAGATCAAATGCCAGAATTGTTGACCTTATTGTGTTATACAACAGTAAGGTAGTAGAAAAGCAGTTTGAATAGCCCTAGGCCTAGTGAACTGGTCTCCCATTTCTTGGAAATAGCTTATTTTGTTAGACAACAGGACACCCCAGAATGAAGGCCAACTTTAGGCAAGGAGCCACTAAAAAGTGATTGGTGGGGAGCAGAATCCTTTTTGCTTTTCAGGATATGATCTATCTTCAGCAAATGAATTAGCACAGAAAAGGCTTGCCTTTTCTTTCACTCTCAACATTGCTGTGCTTTTAAGTTATACAAGTTCAATTCATAGTGCATCACTAAATCCCCAGTACCTAATGTAGACCTGGTGCAGTATGCATAATAAAGTATTTGGAAAGAGGGAAGGAGGGGTTGGGGGAAGATGGATGAGTGAATAAGAAAAAAAGAAAAGGTAGAGCTGCAACTCTCCAGAGCTCTAAACACATGGTTCACAGTTAAGCCCAGCTCTTTTGGTTATTCAAGAGACAGGGTCTAGGTCTGTTGCCCAGGGTAGAGTGCAGTGGCATGATCCTAGCTCACTGCAGCCTTGAACTCCTGGGCTCAAGCAATCCTCCCACCTCAGCCTCCTGATACAGGCATACACCACCATGCCCAGCTGACTTTAAAAATTTTTTAAAAGATAGGGTCTTGCCATGTTTCCTAGACTGGTTTCAAACTCCAGGCCTCAAGTGATCCTTCCACTTCTGCCTTCCAAAGTGCTGGGATTACAGATGTTGAGCCAATGCACCTGTCCAAGCCCAGCTCTTTACAAAATGTTATTCTGCTCCCCGTTCCCCCCCCTCAAACACACATATTTATTTATTCTTTTGCCGGACAGGGACGAACAAAATCTTGTTATATAATAGCCTTTGCCTTCCCTAGTCTAGGTGCCATAACTTTGGAAGAAACGTTCCATAGTGGACTGAAAGGCTATTCATCTCACATCCCTACAAGTAACTGATTTGAGGCCGATGTGAAATATTTTGACCTCATGTGATGTTCCACTGACAACCAAAAACATCTCATTTATCTACTAATCAGGAATAGCAAAGTAGGAAAGGGAGATGAGTAGACACCTAGGCTCCCAATTAGTCTTCTCAAATTAGCATATGCAACCTGGGCACGGCTTTAATCTCAGTATTGTAGGCAGCTGAGGTGGGAGGAATGCTTGAGGCCGCGAGTTTGAGACCAGCTTGGGCAACATGAGACTCCATCTCTACAAAAAATAAAAAAATTAGCCAGGCATAGTTGCTGGTGCCTATAGTCCTACCTACTCAGGAGGCTGAGGTGGGAGGATTGCTTGAACCAAGGACGTCAAGGCTGTGGTGAGCTGTGATTATGCTACTGTACTTCAGTCTAAGCAACAGAGTGAGATCCTGCTAAATAAAAAAAAAATTAATACAAGCAATCCCTTCACCAGCCCTGGGTATGCCAGCTGCTTGCTGGAGACTGACCTGAAAGACAGACAGTATTCTTCGCAAAAAACTAGATACCATGGTCTTAAAAATTCAAGCACTAGGAAGTCTGAAGTGAGCCGCACTGCCATCACTGTCAGTCTCCAGGTGGAAAGATAAGTCAGTTGTGAAACTAAAGGTTTTAAAGGTGGCTTTAAAAACCTTTGTCTTTTGTGTTTTTTATTTTATTTTATGAGACGGAGTTGTGCTTTGTCGCCCAGGCTGGAGTGCAGTGGGGCGATCTTGCCTCACTGCAACCTCCGCATCCTGTGTTCATGCGATTCTCCTGCCTCAGTCGCCCAAGTAGCTGGAATTACAGGCACGTGCCACCATGCCCGGCTAATTTTTGCATTTTTAATAGAGACAGGGTTTTAACCATGTTGGTCAGGCTGTTTTTGAACTCCTGACATCAAACAATCCACCAGCCTCAGCCTCCCAAATGCTGGGATTACAGGTGTGAGCCATCACACTCAGCCATGTATTTATTTGTTAGATACCAGAAGGGTTTACCCAAATAAATAAATAAATAAATAAATAAATAAATAAATAAGGAACTTGATAAGCACTGTTGATGGGGAAAAGAAGTTTGGTCAATTATTGGGGGTGAGAACCTGTTTCAGGTCAGTGCACCATGACTAAGAAAGTTGGATCTCTCCTTTACACATGTGCTGGGCTGATCTCAAGGAGACCATCTAGACTATGCTTATATTAAGGCAGAGTCTGTATCTGAAAAGAACTAATATTTGTTTAAGGTTGATGAAGAACAAAAAGCCTATTACCAATAGAAATAGGTTTAGATGGCTAACTTCTCCCTGCTTTTTTCCCCACAATCTTGTTTGAGATAAGCCAATAATTTTTATTGCTAGTAATTATACCCAAGATGGTTTCACATCCCTTATTTGGTCAGCCAGGAGAAAACCTACCAGTTTTATCAACACTGGAGAAAAAGAACTGCCTATGGTAAAATGCCAAATCAATGGCAGTCTATGTTAGGGGAAGAGAGATGGCAAGGCACTTGGTTGGCCAGAAGTGTACATGATCAGGTTCCCCTAGGTAACTGGACTGAGGCTAACCTACTGATAATACCCTGTTCACCCACCCCTCCCATTAAGATGGTTAATATTGTACTTCCTCTACTCTGGGAGCTAAAACAGAAAAACAAAAAAGGAAATAGCAACAACAGACATACATTTCTTACTTAAAATACTGCCTAATTTGAGTTTTAAATATTGCTCAAAAAATATTTACAATCTGATGCAGAATTTGTTTTTAAAATGATAGAATAAAGTTAAAATATCAAAATAGGGAGTTTAAGAATAAAGTCACTTATACGTAGTGATGACAGTGGTCTCACACAATAGGACCTACATGTTCAACTTGCAAAACTGATGTCATGCTGTGGCATCAGCTGGTAAGGATCTGCTATTGCTTTCCCACTCCACTGGTCACATTACTAGCAGACTTCTGTCCTTACAGATTATGCTGTAGAATGAAGGGAATGGCTTTTGATGCTGACATTTTGATCATTTAATGGCTCACATGAATCTGACTTTACTTACATTTAGTTTCCTTTTAAGTAAAGCAAGCAGCTTGCCAACTTGTTCATCCAATTGCTCTAAATAATCTCTTTCCAGGAATCAAGTGATTCAAGAGGCAGGGACTGTTGCTTCTTCATTTCACTGTCTAAAGGAACCATATGTTACCATTCTTATTCAGAGGGGAACACTCCTGAGGATCTTGATTAAATGCAACTCATGTCACCAACGGTATTTTTAGGACCTACCTACTATGGAGCTCAAAAGTAAAGATGGAAATAAGCCTATCTATAAACAAGTAATGAAACTGAAAGATAACAAAATATATGTCCATGCTCTATAATACATATGAATTTGAAAATTGTCCCTTCACTATGAAAACTGCCCCTAAGAAGTGACTGCTAACTAGAGTAATCGAGCCCTGAATCTGACTCATCACAAACAGGTCAGCATCAGAAATCACAGGCTCACTCAACTGGCAGAAGTATGTGTTTGGATATGGATGTTATTTTCAGTGATCAAGTCTGAATACTTTGATTCTCAGCAGGTTTTTTTTTTGCAGAAATTGTAGAGAAATCCACCTAGGTAATTCCGAGAAGACAATGTGAATCAGAACCGTTGTTAATGATGCTGTTATCTGGGAGGAGAGACATGTACTTGTTTGGGGTTCATTTCCCATGGTCCAAGACACATGGGTCCTGGTAAAAAACTGTGGACACAAGGTACAGAGCTTCACAACAAATAAAAAGGCAGGGATGGGCCAGTAAGTTATTTTAAGGAATCTTTAAATATAAATTGAACCCCAGAGGCAGAAAAGTCATCTACCCAACACCGGCACATTTTAAACACGATTAGGACTTGTAGGTCAAAATCCCGTAACAAAAAAGGGAAGTTTTTGGTTGTTTCCAAAATGAGGAAAGCATATTAAACAGAATCTTGTGACTTAAACTTCACTCAAGTGAGCTTAAAACTGGCATAATTTTGATACCAAAAGTAAGCTGAATAACCAATACAAAAAACAGAACTAACTGGAATTTTTCACCCCCAAAACATAATCCCAAATCCAAAACAACTTATATAAGAGATGCAAGTAACAGAAAAAGTCAAATAAAACAACAGTGGTTCCTGAATTTAAAGGAAGGATGCCCACTTCTCTCTCTCTCAAGAGGCAGATGGTCAGCTGAAAAATAAAAACATTGTATCAATAGAACACTCCAAAGAAAAAAAATTGCAGCCATCTCTGTTCATGCAATATCAAGTTTTTTGTTTTTTGTTTTTTTTAAAAAAAACCCCCAAACTCCAAAACAACCCATAAAACTAATAAAAGGAAGGAAAATGTTGCTCAGATCTTAGGACCTGATGGTTGAGGATCCTGATCAGGCTGTTCACAATGTGGCTCATGGGACAGAAAGGACAGGAGATACCATGAGATCACGTTTGTGGGCCCTGGACGTGGTGGCCCCCTCAGGTTAGGGTACACGCTGTCTTCAGTCCATCAGTTCTTGGATCAGCAGCTTCAAGAACATGATAGTTCTAAGCAAGGGGATCCCAGCACAAGACCTTGGGTCTTGGCCCACGTTTTCTGTTTCGCTCAATTTCCTTTTTCCTTTTTAATTAATATTATTGAATATGACTATTTTTTTGGTAGTGGTAAGTCACTTCAGTATCCACTATGGGCAGACATTGACAAATACAAACAGCAGTGCAATATTTGACCCAGACTTTAAAAGAACAGGAGGCGATGGTGGAAATGAGGTAACTCTTCCCCAACACGTGTGAACAGACAGCTCCTGCTCTTCTAATGCTCTATGTCCATTAGGAGAGAGTAGGGCTTGTCAACAGGATGGTTACATAAAGAAGAAGCTACAGAAGAGAAAAAAGAAAGGTTCAGATTCAAATTTGATTCTTAATGGCTTAAGAAAAAAAGGAGCTTCTCTACAACAAGCTGTGAAAGAACAGCAGTGTGTCAGTTAACGGGGTGACTTCCTTGAGCTCCACGGGTGGGTGAGCAGCAGCAGGGAAGAGGAGGCCAGTGAAGAAGACGATGCCTCAGCTGGGCACCAAGGCACATGAATTGGCAGGGTGGACAGGGACAGGTATGGGGGAAAAAAAGTGATAACATGGTATGTGAAGTACAGGACACCACATGGCAAGTATCTTTGAGAAACTGGTGTAACCCAGACAGCAGTCATTTGAAGTCCACCACACAAGGCAGGAAAGTATGAGACTCTTATCCCTGTTTCTTTTATCCAGTAAGCACGTGTGCATATGCAAACCAAGCAGCGACTAAAAAGAACTCACAAAAAAGGGCACACAAACAATGTTTGGGTAAAAATATATTTTCCCCCGCTTTATGTCTTGGCACTAGTGATATATGCATAGATTACCTGTTCACCACTCTCCTACCTTAACAGATGCCAAATTACCAAGCATGTTGCTAAGTGATTACTTTCATATTTGAAAAAATGATATGCTTCACATCAATACAATTACTTTAGTTTTTAAAAAAAGACAAATGTCTAACATGCAGCTTACATATATGACAATTCTGCATTAACACTGAAAGTAGATTACACAACAGTTTTAGAAAACACATTGGTTATTTTCAAACAGCAAAATGACAAGGATCTACAACTACAGTTTAAGGCATATCAGCATATTTTAAAATTAAGAAATAGACAAAGTTCTACTGCTGTTCACAGCTTTTCAATTTATTTAAAAAATTCCCTTCATACCTACATACAAACTAGACTTTGTAGGTCTTAATTCCAACTAACGAATGTGTCCTGTCAGTGGAACCAGGACTTTTCAAAGCTCAGACTTGACAATTCCAGACACTTGCAAATGGCAAAGCAAAGGGGTGGGAATGGACAGTTTTTGCAGGACCACACAGAGACAGTAGGACGTGGGTCGGTAACAGCTGAAAAACCTCACTCAATAGTTTGTATGTGAAACAGTCATGAAATGTCAAGAAAGCAAGGAAACCAAGTCTGTTCATTTGAGGTGCACAAGATGTGGACAGTGTGTGTTACTGCTGGTGAGTCACAAAGCAGAGAAGGAAGATAAGTAATCTGTGCCCACTGTTACATTAAATAATTCCCATTGTTGAAATGCCCTTTAAAAGGAGAAAACCTTAACCAATTTATAAAGAGCCTAAGTTGGGAAAACACAGTCTGAACTGCCCATAAATTCTCATCAATGCTTCTCCATCACATTCTACAGTACGTGTGTTATGGAGATCTAAAGTTCAGAAGAAGCAAAAAGATGGCCATTATGTTTTAACAAAAGATGTGAGGGAAGGCCAGCTAGAGTTATGTAGGCCCCTCACCCCCCAAAAAAGAGGTGGCCACTGTCAGCAGTTAGCACCAGGGAGAGACCACTGGACTAAGATAAAAAAATTAAGTGGTCATAAAGGCATCCTAGCATAAAATTTTTTCTCTTGGTTTTCTCTAGTAGAAGATGGTAATTTCTCATTCTGGATTTACTTGCTTTGCCGGACTCAAGGGCCCTCTGAACTATCCAGTGATGCCCATGAGGCTATGTAGAGCACAGGCAGGGATTAATAATTTCTTTTTTTTTTTTTCTTTGGAGAGTCTCACTCCATCACCCAGGTTGGAATGCAGTGGCGCAGTCTTGGCTCACTGCAACCTCCATCTCCCAAGTTCAAGCAATTCTCCTGCCTTAGCCTCCCAGGTAGCTGGGACTACAGGCACGCGCCACCATGCCTGGCTATATTTTTGTATTTTTTGTAGAGACGGGGTTTCACTATGTTGGCCAGGATGGTCTTGATCTCCTGACCCCGTGATCTGCCTGCCTCGGCCTCTCAAAGTGCTGGGATTACAGGCCTCAAGTGATCTGCCCACCTCAGCCTCTCAAAGTGCTGAGATTACAGGTATGAGCCACCACAACTGGCCTGGATTGGTAATTTCGGATTTCCAAATTCAGGTCAAGAAGTGGAATTTAGTATGTGGTTCTTGTGAAAAAAAATATAAATGTGGCCTTTTAAATATATTTAGTTTTTTTTTTAAAACAAAACAAAAACAAAGGCTACTCAAACCATTACCTTCCTGTCCCCCTTGAAAAGAAAAAAAAATCCATCCATCCCACTTGCTTTCTCTAATTTTGAAAAGTCAGAAAGATCTCAAAGGTTTCTTACTACTGTACTTACATGCAAAGGCGAAAGCACATCCAATTAGATTTGAGGGTATCATTTATTCCGTGCAGAGCCAAGGACTACTGTGAAAAAAGGCATAGATACAGAAAGAAAAAAGAAGAGCAGCAATAACAAACTAAACAGGGCCGGGGAGCAGTGGCAGAAAAAAGTTCAGAAGCAATACATTAAAAAAAAAAAAAAGCTTCTATTTGTTTCTTTTGACTTTTTATTCTCTGACTCGCCGTATGATTTATTTTGCTGGGAAAATTTTAATGCAAAAAAGTCAATCCAATCTTGGAATCAAAAAGTCAGCTGGATGCCTTTCGCTGTTATGCTTATTTAAAAAAAATTTTAGTGATGCAAGAAACAATTTAAAAGTGTACTTTCTGTACGAGCCACAAAAATGCTCACACAAGCGGTGGTTGGAACAAGCATACAACACAAATACTCAAGCTTTTGTCTGATGCACAGCCTATGAGCAAATTCAGCCCATGGTTTGAATCAACATGCCAGCTACTATTCGGCTGCTCCACAGTTAGCTCCAGACTAGAATTATTTAAAAAAAACAGAAGCAAAAACAAGGATGTTGGTCCAGTAGCTCCTAAACGTGTGAAGACTATGACTGCTGCTGTGTCTAGTGTGTAGTTTCTATTCCAGCTTTGTTTAGGCTTCCACGAAACTAATTTCCTTACTTTGCTTAATTAAGCATAATCAGTTCATGGAAGACCATTCCTTCTTTCCTCTAAGTATGGCTGAGGACAAAGAGAAAGAGAAAAAGTCTTTGCTGAAATCAAAATAGAGACTTGTTCATTTAAAAAAGAAAGTGTGTGTCAGGGGAGATGCAGCATATTCTATCCTAATTAATCTCGAACCAGTGAGGAAAATGTGGAGGGGAAGTGGGTTCATGAGCAATGTTATCCTTTCTACATGTAGAGAGAAAGCTGGGAGGATCTTGTTAGTAGAGGGGAAAAACACAATCACACAGATGAAGGGATAAGCATCAGAAAGGAACAGTATAGAAAAGAGATGAAATATGCACTTTTCCATACAAATTAGGCATGCAGGATAGGTTCTGGCATGTGGGTCCGCTCCAGTCCCTGATGAGGCAAGGACCTTAGACAAAGAGCAGGTGGAGCTAGCCAAGGTGAAGAATACTCCAGACAATGATTTGAGACTTCAGTTGTTCTAGTTCTTCTTTCTTTTATTGCCAAATACTGAAAGGAGACTAAGCAAGGAAGCTGAATAGGAAATGTCTACCTTCTTCACTTACGGGTCATGTTGTGGTCCTTCCTATTTCCACCTTAGAGTGGACAAGGTCTCCCTCAAATTCGTGCTACCAATGATACAGAGTTTATAGCAAATTTTCTAAGGGAAGTATCTGTGGAAATTTTCTCATGATTAGGGAAAAATTTCATTAGAAGTACAAGTATCCTGGAATCAGTCATCAGGGCCTCCCTCTAAGCCCACTGGGAACAAACTGTGTGTTTCATAAACTGTGTGTTTATGAAAGATTCCTTACTGTTAGTGGTAAGCAGGTTGTAGAAAGCCCATCATCCTTAGTAGAAGGTTCTTCTACTAACCAATGTTGTATGATTCAACCTTTAAGACATCTATCTGTGAGAGGATCAAGGATGCACCAGTAAATGTGAACATAATCATAGTTTTCTCATGCCTGTCTACTCTACTCCAACTTGGCCAGGATTTGAAGGCAGGCATTCAGATGCGGTTTCAAACCATGAGAGGAGACAGTCTGAACAGACCCACAAGCTCAGGCCAAATAATGCTACTGATTAAAATGAAAATGTCATGCAAGTGTAAAAATAAAATATAATGCTTGCTCACCCATCTGTCTACATACAAATCTACCTTGGCTTGGGACAAGTGTGGAGAAAAGACAGTGAGTTCAGGGATTGTGCACTCATGGAGATGAATCATCAAGAAAATGCAAACTCTTGTCAAGGCTATTCAGGTTTTTAGTTCAGCTGCTGAGGCGGTGAGAAGTTTTCATGTCAGACGTACAGGTAGCATTTTACCCCACTTTCCTCTGTCCAAAGCGACATACAAGTAACAGGCCTGCTTCGTGCTGCCATTCAGAACAGGCATAAAAAGCAAATCATTTACTTTCCGGAAACAGAGTCCAGCTGCACAGAGCATTTGCGGTTATTCCCTTGTTCTATCATTTTCTACCACCCAACAACATTCAGCAAACGAGTTAATAATAGTTACTGGTGTTTGAAGAAGGGTAAAAAAAAAATAAAAATAAAAATAAAAATAAAGAACACACATGGCAGAGATACGATATTACTGCAAAAGCAGGTGAATGCGGGAACATCCTTGGCTTGCCAGGCTTTATGTGAAGCTTGCACTGCAAGTTAAAAAACAAAACAAAAAAGTTAGAAATAATAATAAATTAAAAAGAAAGGAAAATTAGGAGCGACAGCACCAGCATTCAGCGATGGTGAATGCTCATGCAATGATTATGGAATTGACAGAAATTAAAACCAAAAATTTGAGAAGGCTACTCTACATGACAAGCAAAAGCAAAATTTAATACTGAATTAAAGACATACGGTTAGTTTCCATTTGTATGTAATTTAGAATTCACAAGTGACTTCTTGAAACCACTGCATGTCTAGTGGGAGGATTTACTGTTTAGCTTTTGTTTTCTCAAATAACACAAAACCATTATCTATTAGGTTTGGGTGTCCCATTAGTACTGAATAGGAGCTTCATCTTCCACTTCTGAGCTGCTGAAGGCGTCAGAGAATAAATATACAATAAATGCCTTTGTACAATTGACTTGAAGAAAAGGTCTAAAGCAGTTTAGGGATTGAAATTACATAGTGAATGGAGGACATGCTATTAATCTAGTTGGGTAGGGGGAAAAAAGACAATCACTGTAATGGTTACAGATACAGCAATGCCAGGAGCTTTCCCCCTCTTCTAGGTACAAAGCAATGCCAAACCCACGGCCCATGTGTCTAATTTTAGGCAAGTGCAAAACATGCAACTTTATTCCTTAGCAAGAATCAAAACAGTTTTTTTTTTAAAGATGAGTGGATGGTTGGGTAAACAAGTATGGTTTTAGAATGATGAATTTTAAAACTGTCTTTTGGGATAGATGCAGCTTAACCAGCAAATGGCTGCTAGCAATTGTGCAGACAGTTTTCAGAAAAGGGAAACACTGTCCACTGACCAACTTACCCCCGCGCAGTCCCACCACTGCGGTACAGCCGCAAACAAGGAAAGTGACTTGGTGGCCAGAGATGGCAGAAGGTGGGGCCAGCTAATGGCAGTGCCAGGGTTAGTTCTACTTTGCCTGTCATCTTAGGAAATGTTAAACACTCTCATGCCACTACAGGTCAAGGAGAAGTATAAAGCCTTACCTACATTAAAAAAGGAGCGTGTCATTAGAATAGAAAAAAGAGAATTTAAAACTATTAGAAAAACTAAGTTAGGCTTTGAGGTGGAAACATAGCAGGTAAATAAGTAAGCATCTGCCTTTTCGTTTTCTACCTACAACAAAGCCAGCTCCTAACAGTAACTCCTACATCTGCTCCAGCTATGCTAGGAGGCATCTTCCCAGCTCTTTTCAGAGTGCTGCTCTATCTAGCCTGGCCCCCTAACCAAACTGTTAGAGGACTGTTTTGCGGTCCCTCTAACCAACACAGTCCACTGCCTCTGGCAGTAAAAGGGTGATTTTTTTTTTTTTTTTTTTTTTTTTTACTTTGACACTTCAGGCCTCCACTGGCAGTTGCTTTCACTGTACAAATGCAAAGTGTGGAAAAGGATAAGGACCTAGAAAAAGTTACACAAACAATATGTGCCATTGTCAGGAGCAAAACCTGGTTACTACTCTGAACCAAATTGAGTATTAATATCCTTCAAAATAAATGAGAATACATAAATAAGCTAAAATAGAATCCACACAGGCTTCACAGAAACTTTGAAAGCATTACACATTGGTAAGGATAGGAAGAAAATAACCTAACATGTCCAAAAGGGCAAGGAAAAACCTCCCTACACTGGGAAGTTTGTTACTAAATAAACTTTTTTAAAATGGAGGCACAATAATGATCAGTTCTTGGAATTTTTATTGCTTAAAGGCACGTCTAGTATACACGGAATACTCTTTTAACATTGCTGGTCTTTTAGAAACATTCTTAGTTTTAAAACTCAAACCTTTATGCACTGAGTGCTTCAGGGTGAAAAGACAAACTTGACTTTGGGTTTCCTAAGCTATAAGTCAGCAGCTTTTTGTCTCACTCATACCTATAGATGTATGTGTACGTACATACACACACACACACACACACACACACACCCCTATATCCTTGGTTGGTCTGGATTAACAAAGGTACAATGCCAAATGGCTTTCATCTGTCTTCACTGGAAGAGTCACTGTAATCTCTGAGTCTCTGCACGGGGAACATCATGAGTGTTACATGCTCTCCCGACACACATAGCTACAAAGGGTTTTCTTAAACTAGATTATAATCTATGTGGTTGTTACTCTCAGAATTAATCCAGCATAACTAAATTTTGGGCCTTGAACGCCTTCGGTCACTTGGATCTGTGCCAACTCCAAATAAAATCACAACCACTTCTACTATTGTTCAGAACATCTGCCTCCTCCCTTGCTCTGGTGATACATTTTCTGCTGTCTCAGAGCTCAGAATGTCAAAGTTGGTAAAGCATGATTTAAAACTCTCTCAGTATGTCATTGTAGCAGTCCATTTTTATTTTTACTGCAGGCAACATGAGATTTCTTAGGGGTGAGCCTACTGCACATTCATCAAGACTAAGTGGACAACAGCACTGTGCTCACTCTTCCCTATAACACATCTCAGTTACTGTGCAGAGACTTGATCCTGTGTACTCTATGTTTAAAGAATGTAATTCTTTATGTGCTTGAGTATCAATGTTTTTGTTTATTTATGGTCAGCTTTTTCCCTAGAACCTCGGCATGTAAGGCGAAAGAGCAAGACTTCCTGAAACAAGTTCTGAGTTGCTTTAAATAGCTGCCCTAAAAGCACCGCACATTAGACAAAGGAGGGCAGCATCTGCGTATCTGCCACTGAGATACCACAAAGGTTTTCCTTAGTGGTATTCTTACCATACTGCTTCCTGTCAAAACCGATAGCTACTAACGTAAAACTAGGCTTAATGTGATTCAAAGGACAGCTTCAAATCACAGGAGAATGTCAAGGCAGGGCTAAATCTCCCACTGGTTTCAGGCAGCTGCTACTGGAGTATCATAGGAAGTAACCAACTCAAGAGCAGAATCTGACCTTTTGGCACATGACATTAAGACCCTATTTAAAAATCCTTTTATGAGTGGGTTTAGGTTTGGCTTGAGGGTTGGCAGAGGTGTCAACTGGATAGGCATTTGGATCCCATTTCACAATAAAACAATTCATCATACTGAATTTAGAGGAAACTAGTGGCCACTAGCAGCTCTTCCAAATGTTTCATTTTGGGAACGAGACTTTCAGTGACTGGCTTACGAAGTCTTACAACACAGAGTAGGAAAATAATTTTAACAACTGTGATTTTAAGATGCTCTCTATCAAGAGTCATGAGAATTGTCTTCAGAGGGTGCTGAAGAGACATCAACCTGTCTTCTTCGAGACTCCTAGTGTTGGTGTGGAAGATGCTACTGGAGACAACAGGTTCCTCCAGGCCTGATTGCTCGGTCAATGTGGTCAAGTTTTATAAATTAATCTTTGTGTACCTTTTAAAAATATTTAAAAACCTTCATCATCTTCCCTGCACTGTAGAGAAAATACTTGCTTTTATCTTTCTGGTAAAAGACTAGTTTCCAGTCTGTAAACGGGAAAAGTAGAGACATGCAAGAGGAATAAACTGTTAGAGGTCCCCAATACATGGGGGTGACACCTGCTTACTTTTTCTTATCCTTGTCTTTCTTGGTTTGCTGGGCCCCAGATTGCTGGGCCTGGGACTGTAGCAACTGAGCCGCTGCTTTCTTCTTCTGAAAGTTGTTCACCTCCTCCTCAAGCTCCTTCTTCTTGTCTTCCACTTTCTTCTTTTCTTCTTGGTGTGTCCGCTTTAGAAGGTCAAACTTCTCATGAAGCTGGAGAGAAAAAGAAGACAGGCTTGGTGAACGGAATGAAAATCCATTTGATGTAAAGTTCTTTGGATCTGTTCAAAAAACAAAACATGGCCAGGCACGGTGGCTCATGCCTGTTATCCCAGCACTTTGGGAGGCTGAGGCGGGTGGATCACGAGGTCAGGAGTTCAAGACCAGCCTGGCCAAGATGGTGAAACCCCATCTCTACTGAAAATACAAAAATTAGCCAGGCGTGGTGACGGGCGCCTATAATCCCTGCTACTCGGGAGGCCGAGGCAGAGAATTGCTTGAACCCGGGAGGCGGAGGTTGCAGTGCGCTGAGATCGCACCACTGCACTCCAGCCTGGGTGACAGAATGAGACTCCATCTGAAAAGAAAGAATACAAACAAACAAACATGTGTCATGTGGCTGCACTGGCTTTAATTACAGGTGTAAAGTACCGTTTTGTTGACCTCCTGGAGGAGCTGGGCTGGGAGGCTGAAGAACATCCCTCAGAGACCCAGACTCCTGTGACACTTGAACTCCTTGGACTAAAGATTCCTCCACTCTGTTGCCCAGGCTGGAGAGCAGTGACTCAATCTCAGCTCATTGCAACCTCTGTCTCCCGGGTTCAAGCAATTCTCCTGCTTCTGCCTTCCAAGTAGCTGGTATTATGGGCATGCGCCACCACGCCCAGCTAATTTTTGTATCTTTAGTTGCGACGGGGTTTCACCATATTGGCCAGGCTGGTTGTGAACTCCTGACCTCGTGATCCTCCCGCCTTGGCATCCCAAGGTGCTGGGATTACAGGTGTGAACCAGCGCACCTAGCCAAAATTAATTATGATCCTAACAAAAAAACTCACCCCAGTGGTAAAATTGGCTCTTTACCTCTGGTCTTTTTTCAAAATGTATAAAAAACATTTACTTAGAGATATATACAATGACTACATATATATGTGTGTGTGTATATATATACACATATGTATATACGTGCGTGTGTGTGTGTACATATCTATATAAGCATTATGAATTAGCTACTTAAATAATGTGTTGGGAAATTTCTGGCCCTTGGGGGAAGGAAAGGGAAGAAGAAAAGGAAAGGAAGAAGAAAGGAAATGAAAAAGAAAAGGAAAGGAAGGAATTCCAGATAATTTTAGATTTTTTACCCAGCATCCCCTTGGTTCTTGAAGCCAACAGCAAATAAGGCTGAACTTTCTCTGCAGCAAAACCATCTTGAGTGCCTAGCTATTTAAACAGCCTCTAAGTTTCAGTAGTTTTTAGACAAAAGAAATTAAAACAAGAAATGAGGAAATTTAGATGATTTCACTTAGAAACGTATAGAGATATAGTTCAAACACTTCAGATACTCATTATTGACCAGCAGAAATAGACATTATGCACACAAGCGTACATACACACATACACACACACACACTCAAATACAATGGGATGAGTGTTATAGTACAAATCTATGTTAACTTCTAGGAAGCAGTTAATCTGGCCAGGGGAGGGAACTGAGGTAAGACTGGAGCAGGGAGTGCGAGCCCCATAAGGGCAGAAGCACGGGTGCAGACTTTGTGTCAGAGCATGTCCCCCAGACAGTGCCAAAGTCTAGAAGAGTTGGCTGATAGACTAAGATGATAATAATAGTCCCAGAATCCCAAATCTCATGTTTTAAGACTTGTAAATTGAAGAAATACAGAGCTACAAAGGCCATATGATCAGATCTGGAGACCTAAGATCTAGTTTTAGTCTCGATTTTGCTGCTAACTAGGTATGTGACTACAAAAACAGTTTTTTTTTTTTAATTTTTATTATTTTTTATTATTATTATACTTTAAGTTCTAGGGTACATGTGCATAACGTGCAGGTTTGTTACATATGTATACTTGTGCCATGTTGCTGTGCTGCACCCATCAACTCGTCAGCACCCCAAAGATAGTTTTAACTTTTATAACCTGTTTGTCATCTGTCAGATGGGAATGAGAATATCTGACCCATTTTTCTGGCCAGGTTGGTAGGTCACTTGTGACAAAATGCATGTAGAAAGTACTTGGAGCATCATGAAATCCTCTAAAGTGTGAAGTATTAAGAAAACCTCCCTCTTACAAATCTTTCCCTTGGAAGCAGGACAGATGGCTTACCTCTTTCTCTGCCTCTTTAAGTTCAGCTTCTTTCTCCTTCACTCTCATAACAAACATTTGTCTCATTTCTTCTTCTTTCTTCTGCAGTTCTCCCAGGAATTCATTCCTTTTTGCTTCATATGTCTCCTGAAGACTATTCAAAATCCACAAACCAAGGACAGCATTATGAAATTGTATACTAAGAACTTTCAGTTCACATAATTTCTACCCATCTACTTCCAAAACATAAAGTTGTTGCTTGCCATATTAAAGCATAAGTAGAATGACACTGTTTTGCTTTTAGTTATTCTGTGGTTGGAAAGACAAGTGCATCAAGAACTAGAAATCAGTCAGTAAGCATGACATAGCACTAAAGGTATGTCTCTGATTAGCCAAGTTTTATCTTACATATATTCATACAGGGAAAACCTGGGCTGAGGAGGTGGAGGTGGTATAGGATTTGAGAAGATGGAGGAGGCCTGGTATAGGGGGAGAAATGAAGAGGCACTGGAGTCCCACAGATCCAGGTTTGAATTCGGACCGTACCAACTGACCGGCTGTTCTTAGAAAAGCACAGCCTCCCTCAGCCTCCAAGGTCTGAGACGTGGATACAGTGACACTTACCTTCTAGGGATATGACCCTGAGAATGAAATGAAGGAAAGGGAATAAAACATCGAACATATAATCAGTGCCCAGTAAATGGTACTCTCCCCTCTCATCTCCCTCCAGCCCCCAATGTGGAAAATAAACCCAGCAAAAGTAAACTAAAGAGACAACATTACCTTTAAAGGTATTGTAGAAAATTGCTACTTTTCAAGTTGTATTACCAGTTGAAAATAGAGCAGGGAGAATAGTTTAATTTTTATTTTCAATTCTATCCTCCTCCTGACTGTCTCGGAAGTTAGAGCCCAATATTCTACATTGAATGCTACAGCTCAGCTTTATCTCTAAGTCAAAACAAATATATTTACAGAGAAATCACTTTGGTAGCACAGCTTAAGAAAATACAACCCCACTGCCACCCCCACATACACACAGAAACATTTGCTGATATTTTATAGGTGCTATTTCTCTCTCTGTCTTGCTGTTTCCCTACAACAACCGTTGTATATTAACCGTCTGCAGTGTATCTGCCTTTCCCATGGACCGAATTCGTCCAAAGCGTAGACTACAAACTGGATGGCCACTCCGGATGACCCCCGGTACCATGCGGACTACCACACATCATTTACATCTGTCCATTTAGACGAAGAAAAAGGAAATTCAGGTGATAGGAACATACGTGCATGTAGATACACACATCTATAATGAACTACAGAACTAGTTTAGTATTAGAAAATGTATTAGGCCAAGCATGGTAGCTCATGCCTGTAATCCCAGCACTTTGGGAGACTGAGGCAGGAGGATCACCTGAGGTCATGAGTTCGACGCCAATATGGTGAAACCCCCATCTCTACTAAAAATACAAAAATTAGCTGGGTGTGGTGGTGAGCACCTGTAACCCTAGCTACTTGGGAGGCTGAGGCAGGAGGATCACTCGAACCCAGGAATTGGAGCTTGCAGTGAGCTGAGACCATGCCATTGCACTCCAGCCTGGGCAACAGAACAAGACTCCATTTCAAAAAAAGAAAACGTATTACTTAGGCTGGTTTTTACTTCAATAATTAACATGGTTATTAGTTTATTAAAAGTAAGTTCTCTTGCCCTCGCCACTATCAATAGTACCTGTTTATAAACAATTGTTTTGAGTTTCCAGAGGTACATTTAGCTTTCACATTATCTTAAAAGATAAAAACATGTTCGGCCAATGTTAGTGTTGGCTAATATTAATAGCAATAGTTGGACTTCAAGTTTAAGATCTATAGTGATGGATATATAGAGAAGTATACTGATAACAGAACTATAAAATAATTCATGAAATTTTGCATACTAGCTTATAATAAACTCTTCATCACTATTATTTAGCTCAGAATTGCCAAAGGTAGAGGATGACTTGTCCCTCCTATGAAATTTTACAGAAAACTCAGTTTTTGTTGATTTTAGAATAATGAATATATCTCCCTCTTATTTCTAACAAACAATGGAAACTTTGATAGAAACACTACCCAAAGTGTATTCCAGAGACCACCAATTTCAAGAAAGGATCTCCAAAAGAGGGGCTCCAACGTCAAAAGACAGAAGGGAGAATGGTGCCCCTACTATCTTTTTAGCAGATTCACAGTGCATGGTGGATCTCAACCTTGGCCGCACAGCAGGGGCACTGGGCACGTTTTGTTGCATACACTTCCCTAAATACAGAGTCCTAAGTTCAGTCCTGGAGAGGCTGATTCAGGATGTCTGGTAAGGCAAAATGGTCTAGTTTTAAATGCTTCCCAGATGATTTGATGTAACTAGTCTGCTAGTTTTAAATGCTTCCCAGGTGATTTGATGTAACTAGTTTGCTAGTTTTAAATGCTTCCCAGGTGATTTGATGTAACCAGTTTGCTAGTTTTAAATACTTTCCAGGTGATTTGATGTAACTAGTTTGCTAACTACTGCTTGTCTTAAATGCTCTGAGAAGCCCAAGAGTAAAAGAACCTGTTTAACTTGATTGTCTTAGAACCCTCCAAATTTGTCTGATCATGGAAAATTTAAGCAATTCACTGATAGAATGTGCTCTGGGTAATGCTACCCTAAATGCTGAGAACTCACTAAATGACTCTGCCTTATCCAGTTCCAACCACAAGCTATCTTATGCTTCAGTTTCTGGAGATACATTTTGAAACTATGAATCACAACTGAATTGTGGGTCTTAACCAGTACGTTAAAAAGTTTAAAAGTAGGCATTACTACACAAAATGTGTATGCTGGATCATGATGGAAAATGCTTTTTACAGTGAAGCTTGCAGTCCAAAATTGGAAAGCCTAGTCCCAGAGAAAGCCTAAGGAGCAACTTTGCCATTGGCAAAACTGGAAGCAGTTTTGACACCCTGGGCCAGAGCAGGCAAATGGGCTCAACAAATGCTACTTCTTATATCATTGTGTCTTAGGATGTGAGCCAGCTTTTGAACTCTGACATTGGAAACAATAATCAGGAACATAAGAAACATAAGCCATAAAACCTTACCCCAAGGAATCACAACTGTAATTAGTTACTTACAAATAACTTAGAACCACAGCATCCACAGAATCAGATTCCCAGACACCTCTGCCAGGTGAGTTGTCCACTAGAGATACCAGAAGCCCTCACTAATATTTCTCAGTCATTGAAGACCAGTTCAAAAGGAACTGGCTCATATCCAGTAAAGATATCCAAAGTGATTATATATCTTTTTTTTTTTTTTTTTTTTTTTTTTTGGAGACAGGCTCCTACTGTCTCACCCAGGCTGGAGTGCAGGGGCGGGATCATAGCTCACTATATCCTCGAACTGCCGGGCTCAAGCGATCTTCCCACTTCAGCTTCTCGAGTAGTTGGGACGAACCACAAGCATGTGCCACCATGTCTGGCTAATTTTTTTTTAATTTTTTTGTTGAGATGAAGTCTCCCTATGTTGCCCAGGCTGGTCTTACATTCATGAGCTCAAGTGATCCTCCTACCTCAGCCTCCTAGAGTGCTGGGATTTCAGATGTGAGCCTCTGCACCCATCTCTTCAGTGGTATCTTCCGCAAATTTTAGTTCTTCAAAGTTAATTTTTAATTACAGTTACTAATACCCTTTTCTAAGTGAGAAATGTGTACCTTTTTCACAAGATTTTAGATTGATTTGAAATTGAGGATTTTATCTTGTAATTTCCTCTTAACAGCCCTTGGGAGAGGCAGGTTTTGCTTGTAGAGGTCAAAGGAAGAGAATGAACACAGACACTTCAGTTCATCCTTCATTCTGGCGATTCACACAGTACAATTCTCTCTCTGTTTTTATCTAAAAGCATCTAGTAGAAGGCATGCCAGAGTATGATAATCTCTACCAGCATTTGTGGAGTGGAGCAATACAAACGTGAATTCATTTAATCCTTACAACAACCCAGTAAGATAGACATTACTATCACCTCCCACTTTATAGATGGAGAAACTTGGACACACAGGTAATTTGAGCAGGTCATACAACAAAGAAGTAACAGAGCCAGGACTGAGCCCAGGCTGCCTTGCTCAGATAAGAACTCCACCTCCTGCACTGCATGGCTGGTGTACGGAGGCCCAGCCACTCCTAAAAACAAATGAGTCTCCTGGGCCTGGACCTTGTTGGCCTCTGAGAAAATGGTGGTAACTAAGTGTTTTGTGTGAGTTGAACAGGGGTGAAGCAAGGAGATGGTGGTGTTCCAAGGTGAGATGAGAGCAGCTTGGGCAGGTACTGTTAGGAAAAGCGCAGTGGCCTCTCAGGAGAAAGGAAGCAGGGAGTAGCTCATGGGAGACACGTGACATCTCCTCTTCTACCCTATAATGCCAGCAGAAAGGGGCTGGGGTCGAGGAAGGAGAGGCCTGGGTCCAGGCAAGTATGGGTGCTCTGGATGGTAGAAGCATGAGTTTCAAGGCTTCAGGGCAGCAGCTGGGCATGCGCGGGGGGAGGATAAAGATGGGCTTGGGAAAGAGCAGATGAATGCCTGGTTATAGATGTATTCTGACACAAGACAATAAAGACACAAGTGTGAATGCAGCCAGGTTTAAAGGCAACCCAGGGACGGGCTCCACTAGCTTTACTGCCGTGGTGTGCTGCCAAGGCTTGAATACAGCGTCTCTGTGCACACCCTGCTCCTCCCTTTGCCTCACACTGTGTAACATACACAGTGGCGCTGCCTCTTACTAGACTTGGCCTTAGAGGTCACTCTCTGTTTTACAAACATGCACTGTAAACACAAGTGGGGCCCAGAAGACAAATGGTGAATGAGGGTGCTCACTGGGAAGGATGAACTTCACTGCACACCCATGCAGAAATCCTGTGCTTTGAGAATATAAAACCTTAAGCCCTTGATTTATACTCCTCCGAGCTCAGCCTAAATTCACACGGAAGATCCATGTTCCAAGCACATCCAGGAATGGTGACTTTGCAGATGAAATTCTGGAAAATCACTTAAATCAATTGTGGCTTCTGCTTTTCCTTAACTCTGTCATCCTCCAAACAGAGTCACCTCACTCCACTCCTCCTTCTCAGGTGCACAGGAAGTGCTGAGGGTGCCCGAAATTCTTCAAAGGCAAAGGCTGAGCCCTTTTAAAAGTAGTGGTTTCCAAGAAAAGGAAAATCAAATTCATTTCATATCACTATTTACCAAGACATGTGATTTAAAGCCAACTTTTGGTACCAAGTGATCTTCCGTAAACGAGGAGGGACACCAGAGTTTGAATGAGTGGTCTAAGAGGAGAAACTGTTTCCAGTTGAAATGGAAAACCTAGTCCCAGTTATCGAGATGTTAGAAGGTATTTATTTTTAGAAGGTCTACTTTTTTCTAATTTTCTTAGAAAATTTCTAATTTTCTAATATATGGAAAAAAGTAAGGCCTTGGTAATATATATGTGTGTATATATAATGTGTGTATATATATCTATTATATATACATAAGATATACATATATTATGTTATTATTAATAATACAATTATAATATATAATTATATAAATAATATATTATATATTATATGTATGTTATATAATATATAATTATTTTATATATCTATATATATAGCATGTGTGTGTGTGTGTGTATATATATATTTTCCCTTTTCATCATCAAAAAGTAAAACTCAGGCCAGTGGAAATGGATCCAAGTGGGGAAGGGAGATATGGATAAAGCTCTCTAAGCATCAGGCAGACTCAGTGATGCCCCTCACCAATCCTGAAGCCACTGAAACAGGGAGAACAAAGCAGTGGGCTGGTCCAGCAGCTTCCCTCGCAGAAGCCCTGCTGGGCCTACCCAGCTCCACCTCTTCCTGGTGGGCAGTTACTCTGGGCTTGCAGGAAATGCCTTAATTAAAATGCTGGCTACACAGACAACTTAGTGGCCTGTAGCAGCAGGAAATCCTCACCATCCCCAGGCTCCCAGGGAATCTAAGAAACCCAGTCAAGATGGTGGAAGGCCTTGGTCTTGCCTGTCCCAGAAGACTTAGGCCACTGGGCCCTTCCTGGTGGTGTAGATAGCTAAGGGTAGCATCATAGACTCTTCGAATTCCACAGATTCATGAGTTGAAAGAAACACAACTATGCCAAATGGCTCTGAACATTTTGAGAAGTAAAACACTTTGGGAGGTAAATGACCTCGAACAAACTCAAGAAACAGTCACATGCATTCTAACTTTTGCAGGCAGTTCACAGGCTCCAAGTTATGATCTCGTCTAGGGGTTGGGCAACTACAGCCTGAGGACCAAATCTGGCCCCCCATCTGTTTTTGTAAATGAAGTTTTACTGGAACATAGCCATGTCCATTCATTTACAGTATGGTCTATGGCTGCCTTCGGACAAGGGCACATTGAATGGTTGTGATAGAGACCATTTGGCCTGCAGAACCTAAAATGTTTACTATGTAACCCAGTACAGAAAAAAAAATTTTTTTACTGGATCTAATTATTCCATGATCTGGATCCACTCCTCATTTCACAGATGAAGAAATTCAGGCCCAGGTGGGTTAAGAATTTGTAGCATAGCAGGACCAAGAACTGAACTGAAACTCCTGACTCCTAGCCCAGGGCTCTTCAACGCTGTCTGGATTTGAATGAGGGCGAGGGGAAAATGAATTCAATTTTATAGCAGTTCCTTTTTTTTCAATATCTCTGCATGAAAACAAATATTCTATGTAATAGTGAAGATGGCCTTTCCCACACAGAAACTGTTTCATCAGGTTTAGTAACCATAAAGTGGACTTGCCTTTGTAAGGACTGTTTTCTGGTAAATGCATTTCAAGGTTCAATTAGTTAAACCTGTGTATACAAAAAGGTGTCCTACACCTTGCCTCAGAATGTGACTTTCACACGGTTGGAGATGGTCAGTTTTGCAAGCCACCAGGGCAGAAGGGAATGATGCAACCTTGGCTATAAGTTAACTTCTTGGTAAACCCCTTGTCTGGGTTCTGCATTTGTTCTCACTGCATACACACATGCTCGTGGAATTCCTCAGTAGCAGAGTGCCAGGCGACAAGCCCAGGCATTCCTAAACTATCTCTAAAGCAATTGCAAGAAAATAAACTCCCTCCCGGCCGGGCGCAGTGGCTCACGCCTGTAATCCCAGCACTTTGGGAGGACGAGGTGGGTGGATCACAAGGTCAGGAGATCGAGACCATCCTGGCCAACACAGTGAAACCCCGTCTCTACTAAAAATACAAAAATTAGCCGGGTGTGGTGGTGGGCGCCTGTAGTCCCAGCTACTCGGGAGGCTGAGGCAGGAGAGTGGTGTGAACCCGGGAGGCGAAGCTTGCAGTGAGCCGACATCGCGCCACTGCACTCTAGCCTGGGTGACAGAGTGAGACTCTGTCTCAAAAAAAAAAAAAGAAAAGAAACTCCCTCCTACAGACCCACAGGGACAGAATCTGCTGTGCACAGGCTGCCTCAGGTTCTATTGTCAGCCAGCTTGTAGACATCAGAGTGTGTTGTAGGGCTAACCAGCAAAGAGGAGAAAAACAGGTTTTTTTCCCCAAGGAACTATGGCCCTCAATTTGTAAAGGCACAGAACCCAGACACACCTCACAACACCTGAATTCAAATTCCCATTAAGAAACAGCCTGGGGGCCAGGCGGGGTGGCCCACGCCTGTAATCCCAGCACTTTGGGAGGCTGAAGCACTCCAGCCTGGCGACAGAGCAAGGCTCTGTCTCAAAAAAAAAAAAAAGAAAAAAAAAGAAAGAAAAGAAAAGAAACTGCTTGGGCACCATCTGGACAATCCTCTCCTCCACCAGGAGGTGGCGAACCTGGCCTGGCAGCCTCACCCCACACCTTTACCCAGAACCATCCCACGACTCACTCCAGTGTGGGCCAACCCTATCCCTACCACTGGATTCTGACCGGGTCTGGGCTTCGGCTGGGGTATTAATTCTACATCCATTTCTCCCCTTCACATTTTGCGTCTTTATCTGCCAGTGATATAAAAAAATACATAATCTTCTGAAAGCTATTCTCCTTTCCTCCTGATTCTTTGTTGTTAGAATTTTACTGAACCACCAAAAGCTAATAGTAAAAGTGCTTGACAAAGGAAGAGCCTTCGGAAGTTAAAGGTGTTTGGCAAAAATGAATGGGGCAAACTGTAATCAGCAGCCGCACCTTTGTAAATGCATCAACCAGGCTCTGTACCTCTGCAAGAGAACAGGCAGAAACCTGGGCTCAGGACCCAGATGGCAAGAGCTCAACACCACACCACTGTTTACTACTTGGAGGACCTTGGGCAGTTTGTTTACACTTTCAGTGCCTTTGTTTCCTCATCTGTAAAATGTGGATGATAATAATAATGACATCAACTAGATAAGATAGTTGAGATAATGCAAATAAAGCAATTATCGCAATGCCTGACAACATATGTATTAATCTTCACCCACCAGATCCTTCCATCATCACCATCTCAATCCAGCAAGCATTTCTGTGATGTACCAACACGCCACTCTCACCACTGTCTAGGAGACAGCTGATTGCTAGGTGCCTTCATACCTGAAGGGTTTGCTGTCAGGGTCAGTGTCCTTGAACCCCATCTCTTCAAGCTTACAGCGTCGGTACAATTCGTAGTGGCGGGTGTGAGTCTGCTCTCGCAAGTCCTCCATGTTCACCCGGATCAGCATCTCTCGAAGTTTCACAAAATCACAATGATTTTCATTCTCAACTATAAGAGGGGGGAAATGGAGGAAGTGGGATCAGCAATGATATCACTGAAATATCTGCAGTGATGCTTCCAAGATGTTACTACCATCACTCCTGAAATCTCTGGGGTCTCAAGGCCATCTGAAGATTCTTTACTGGATTCACCTTACATTCATGATGAAGACAAGATTTCTGACAACACTGACCATAATACTGATGACAATGCTGACTGCTGAGTGCCTACTAAGCACAGGGCACAGGGGGAGGAGCTTGAAAACAAATATTGTCTTTACCCCTCATAATAACTCTGCCAAGTAGATGTCATGACTCTTGCTTTGCAGATGCAGGAGCTCGGTGAGCAAGCTGACCTCCCAAAGAGAGGTAGCAGAGTCTAGGTTCAAACGCTAGAACATCTGATCCAAAGCCAGATGTTGTACCACACCATGCTGTCTATAACTGTGCAGGGCCACTTTTACATACCACTTCATTTAATTTTATCAACGACACTGGGAAGAAAGGAGTTTTCTTATTGTAGAGAAATTGGTAAGAGTAGGTACAATTGTATTTTTCCCAGGGATCTCAAAGGTACTGTTTCTTCTCACAGCTTTATTGTCTTTATTCAAAACAGAGGAAAAGGAGGTCCGATACATCTTAAACCAATGAAGAACTTTCTGTAGCCATCCTGCTTAATCCATAGCACTGGATGTCCTCCTTCAGAACACAAGGGTAGGTCATACAGTCCTTGTCCTTCAAAGTGACATACCTGACAAGCTTTCAGGTTAGACTGTGGCCATGTCCCACAGTGCCAAATATAGGTCAAATATTCTCATAAGTCTCAGATTTCCTAAGATAACATTTTATTAGAAGACATTTTTTGCATAGTTGATGGAGGAAAAAGTACCCTCTTGTTTGCAAGAAACTTTTTGCTGCTTTTTAATACTTGGCTGATAAAACAAGTTCCAACTCCTAGGGAAGAACTATTTTTCAATCAGGACTTTATATTAATTCCCTACACAACCCAGCATCCTTGAGAGGCTACCTCAAGGGATTGGCAGTCACATCTCTCCATTGTCCACCTACCTGATTACTTTTTCTTTCTTCCTCACCTCCACGAGGGTGGAGCCCCACCACACCCTCCCACTGCCAGCCCACTGTTGAGGGCCTCCCTAAACAAGACGGGAAATGAACAAACACGGCCATTCACATAGGGGCGAAATTTGAAGACTCCATCTCCCATGCTGTGCACATACCCTGCACCACACCCCAGGGGTACTGCCTGGCCTTTGCCATCTTGTTGCCAATCTTCACCTCTTCGGTGCTGCCAACCACTGCAAATGGGAGATGGACCTGCCAAGCAAAAGGACAGAGAATAGTTACCTTCCCCTGCTCTGACAGACTGGTTTCCACCAGTCTCTATCTTCTTCCTCCTTCTGCAGGCCTCTACTTGGTGGCAAGGGAAAAGCAGGCTGCCGTTTGGTGGGTGGATGTCACGTATCCCATCCCCCTTAAAACCCAATAATGAATATGCGATAGGATCTAGATTCAAGGGAAAACTGTAGGAGTCTTTGCAGCTATAAAGTAAGTTTTAGACTTGTGCTAGCCGATGCAGTAGCCACTAACTATATGTGGCTGTTGAGCACTTGAAATACAGCGTGTAGGACCAAGAAATTTAATATCTAACTTTTAATTGGTTTACCTCTAAATTTAAAATAGAAGCAACGTAAAATATTTTTCCATTAAATGCAACTTTATTGTTTTGGTAAAACTGCATTTCACTTTGCTTCAAACTCAAATCTTCTGAAAAACAAGACCAAGGTAGGTGGCAAGGTAGACACAAAGATTAAAGATAAAGTATCTTTTTGGCACTTATTTCATACTGAAAATCTTTAAGGTATGTTAGGAGAAACCTGGGTATGTAAATTTACCTTTTTAGCTGTGAATTTTATAAAATGTATATACAGATAAAGTATTTTTGGTGAAAATTCAGTCCAAAATGAGATAAGCTATCATTGTAAAATATACACTGGATCTCAAAGATCTACCATTAAAATGTGTGGTTTTTTTTGTTTTGTTTTGTTTTTTTTGAAATGGCATCTTTCTCTGTCGCCCAGGCAGGAGTGCAGTGGTACTATCTCGGCTCACTGCAAGCTCCACCTCCTGGGTTCACACCATTCTCCTGCCTCAGCTTCCCGAGTAGCTGGGACTATATAGGCGCCTGCCACCATGCCGGGCTAATTTTTGTATTTTTAGTAGAGACGGGGTTTCACCGTGTTAGCCAGGATGGTATTGATCTCCTGACCTTGTGATCCACCCGCCTCGGCCTCCTGAAGTACTGGGATAACAGGTGTGAGCCACCGCACCCAGCCTAAAATACCTAATAATTTTTATATTGATTACATGTTGAAATTATATTTTACAACATATTGGGTTAAGTCCTTAAAATTAATTTCACATTTCTTTTTACTTTCTTTAAGGTGGCTACTAGAAAATTTTAAAATACTTGTATGTCTCACATTACAGTTCTACTTGAACAACACTGCTTTAGACAGTTGACTACTGCACAAATTCTAAGTCAGAAACACACTTTAGCCCAAATTATTGGCTCAAGTTTTGCACCCAGACTTATCTGAAGTAGAGATGGTGTCCAAGAAAACTGACTCTTTCACATCGGTTTATTTGGTAGTTATCACTGCATTCTGAGTGAGAGAGGAAATAATAATCCTATCTTTTTTCTATCAGCATGTAAGAATAAGATTTGAAATAGCTGCTCCAAGAATTATTATTTAGAGTTCCTTGATCCAGTGTTCTTCCACTATAGATACATTGAGAAAGAAGATAAAAGTTTTCAAGCCAATTCCTCTCCTACAGAGAACTTGGCATAATCATTGGCTCAGGTTTCTCAAGTAGCTTTTTGTCGGATGCTTAAGATATTGACATTTTCTAGTTCATCTCACACTCTAAGAAGGAAAGAAAGTGTATTCTCTTTCTCAAACAAGTCTGAGTTTCAGACTTGAACACTATTGTCGCCTGAAGTTGAGAAGCAACAGGACCTTTCCAGTCAATATTTTGGTGTAATGACCAAGGAAATTTCTCCACTCAAATGTAACAAAAGCAACTGCCAGTGGAATCTGTTTTCCTCAGATTTCTACACATTACGTGGAATTTCATCAGCAAAAATTGTTTGTAATGAAGAGCCTAAAAAATATTCTTTAAAGAACAGGATTAATTTGGAATGTCAGAGATTCAGTTCTATTAATCTGATAAAGACAATGAAAATAGAGCAAAAATTCTTGGGTATTTTCTTTCCAATAAGTTTAACACAGATATAGTTCCATGAATATAAAATAATGAAAACGTATTTAGAAGGATAGGAATATAAAGAAAAATTACATAGCAGTCATTCATGATACTTCCTGAATACCACACTGACATCCCAAATTATAGTTCTACAGCAGAATAAAGGAGTGCCATCTCAGCTTGAGATTTTGACCTTGCTATAAAAAAGTACAGACCTCTGCAGTATCCACAGGGTGCAGGTTCCAGGACTGTCCATGGACACTGAAATCTGCAGGTGCTCAAATCTCTGATATAAAATGGTATAGTATTTACAAATAACCTATGCACATCCTCCTGTATACTTTAAATCATCTCTAGATTACTTATAATACCCAAGACAATGTAAATGCTATATAGTTATTATACTATATTTTTAAAATTTTTATAGAATTTAGTTTTTATTTTTCTTGCTGAGTTGACCAGGCTGGTCTTGAGCTCCTGGCCTCAAGTGATCCTCCCTCCTCAGCCTCCCAAAGTGCTGGGATTACAGGTATGAGCCACTGTGCCTGGCCATATATATATTGTATTATTGTTTTTATTGTTGCATTTTTTTTTTCCAAATCTATTTGATCCATGGTTGGTCAAATCCGTGTATGCAGAGGACTGACTGTACACTGCTCTGCTTGGGTGGTAGTACACAGGGTGAGAGTGTAAGCCTGACAGCCAAAGCCTGGGTTCGAATCCTACTTCCACTACCGACAGCTGTGCAATCTTAGGTGCTATGCTGCAGTCTCCTCATATATGAGGTAGGAATAATAATAGTACCTACGTATGCAACTGTTGTGAGGATTAAATGGAAAGTCTTGAACAGTTCCTGGTGTATAGTAAATGCTCCAGAAATGTGAAAAATGTCAGGTGCTATTATTATTATGTAGCTGTCAGTACCCACAACCAGAGAATTTTAGAGGTGGAAGAGATCTTGCCTATTATACAGTTCAATCTTGCTTAGGAATTCCTGCTACAGTATCTCTTCCAAGTGGACTGAAACAGGGTCTGTTATCGACTAACCACTGGTGATGGGAACTCACTACTTCCCAAGAAGTAAGGTGTGTCTTCCATCTCAGTGGCATTACTAGTTAAACACTCACTTTGTAATGGGACCAAAACCCCTTGTTGATCTTTTGTCCATCCATATTTTGCACAAGTCTAGTCATTCTCCCTTGTGGCAACCTTCCTTTCACACCCCATCATGCCTATTTCCTGGGAAGAATCTGCTTTCCAGATTCTTCCAGCGATTCTAGAGCCTTAACTACTTTGAATTCCAACAACCATCACTGGGCATCCACTATATGTAAAGCATGTGGCTTTCACGGATGTTATGCATTCCCAAAGGGAAAAAAGATGCGTAGAGTCATTGCAGCTCACAGCTGAGCTATGGGCTGAGACACACAAAAGAGCAGTGAAACAGACTGGAGCATCAACCGGCAGGATGGAGACTCACCAGGAGGGATTACATCACAACCACACAGGGAACCACTGTCGCTTTAATCATTTATCTCCTGACTAGTTCCTCTCTGTGATGTGGAAATTGTATCCTCAACTGCCAATTTACCTAATGATTCAGAAAAGGGTAGGGAAAATAGAAAGGAGGGAAGGGCAGGATCCAATCACCAAAGCAAAATTGGGACAAGCTGATGTATTTCTGCCAAGACTGGTGGAAACAAGCACAGATCTATTTCCTTTGAGCTGCTTTTTGTGAAATGGTGCCGGGCTGGCATTTCCTTCTCGCAAGATTTGCTGTAGAAATCATAACTGTTAGAGTGGGAAGGAAATTGGAGATCATCTTGTCTAACGCTCCCATTTGACAGATGGAGAAACTGAGGAGCAGACTGGTTAAATGACTTGAAGTGGTGGCAAAGCTGCACTAATCTGAAGTCATCAGGTGCCTAGTCAGTCCGGTGCTCCAGCCACTCTACAACGCTGGTACTAAGACAGGCGTTCATTAAAATAATTTGTTTCCATTTGACTTGAGGACTTACACTCATTGTCGCGTTAATCTCTGCCACCGTTTCTTCATCAGTGGGAAACTGATATATCTGGACCCCATTGCTGACTAGTTCACTCATGATCTTACTCTTGAATTTGTGCAGTTCATTCTTGGCAATGGTGTCAGCTTTTGCAATTATTGGAATGATGTTCACCTGTAAAACAGACACATCCATTTTTACACAGTTCCAACATAAGAAAAATAGACAAGTGAATAAAACATAGCAAACAAATAAAATTGCAAAACCTTAATGTAAAAAATAAAGATGTTGCATGCTTATATCAAAACATCTCAAGTACCCCATAAATATAAACACCTCCTATGTACCTACTTTTTTTTTTTTTTTTTTTTTTTTTTTTTTTTTTTTAGGTAGAGATGATAATGAAAATCAGACTTTCTACCTAGGTGAAAAATTAAGAAGACCTGAGATAAACTTTTAGTTCCATATTCAAACACTTTTACTTCCTCCCATCCTGCACTGAAATTATACTTGTAATTTCCCCTCCTGTGCTACCTCATTTTTCTTTACAGAGTAAAGGAAGTGTTGCTATTCTATGACAAATAGTGATAACAAAGGAGCCTATTCTTTGAATGATCAACCACTCCTTTTAGACCCCTCCCATCTACTTTAGGCTCTTGATTTTTGCACACCCTAATAGTATAATAACAAAGTTTTTGTAAGAGCAGTGGAGTATTCGGTCCTATGCAGCCCAACACCCTTTCTTTCTTCTGATGACCTGAAAATTGCTGAGAGGAGAACCTATGTATTAATCAAAACAAAAATGGTGTCGCCCACTGTAAAAGTTTTCAAAATCACACCAACTAATTCTTTTGAAAATCAGCTTCTATCAAATTACTACTTCATGCCGGAATAAAACTGAGCGCCAAAGGCAAGGCTCACTTTCACAGCATTGGTTACAAAAGAACAGGGGAGAACTCAGAATTTGACAGTAGTGGCAGGAAGCCCAGAAAGGGAGCCAAGGATACCCTAGAGCACAAGTTCCAAACCGTGTGTGGACATTCTTTTCCTGGCTGCCCCCAGCCCTGTGCATGGGACACATTTCTTAAATTCACATTTTAAGATTAACTTTCCCCTAATCCCTGTAGAAACAGAGATTTCAATAAGATATTACTGACATCTGATATATAGAAGTATAGTCTTCACCCAGCTTAGGTGAGAGAAAATAGACTCGGTGAGGAAGCTGTCCTAGCCAGGGAACAGAGAGTCTTTCAGGAAGTGTTCAGGTCACATCTGCATGCCTTTGCTTCTCCTTTTATCCAAAGGCCACATTAGAAATCCTGATAAAGCCAAATGAGATGACACGCTGACAGAAAGACCTATTCTTCAACCTATTCCTCAACCTGCTCCTAAGCTCACCATGCTTGGGCTTCCTCCAGCAAGTTGCGGACTGAGAAAAACATCATTGAGGGTGGGGGAAATGTTTGGATCAGGACTGGAGGAACAAGAAACTTCCTATTGTTCTTACTGGCTATCTTTTATACACATTTAGTATTTAATTAATGTCAACATAAACAAAATGGCAGAGATTCACTCTTTCTTGGGCAAATTGATCAGAGGAGATAGAGAAATCAATCAATTTGGTTTTAAAACCTCTTTTCCTCATTGGCAGGGGCTTGAAAGTCATTCCTGAAATGACCATACATTTGCTTAACTCTTCCCTTTACGTGTATAAATAAAACTTTGATATTATCATTTTCAGATGCTAGCTAGCTCTCCAACTCTCCTACGATATCACTTCTTTGAAAGTTTAACCTGCTTTATGGTTGGTTGTTTGCTTTTATTAGTTGTGCCTGTTTTGCAGTTTTCTTTTCCTTTTTCAATGAACTCTATTAAACATAATCATAGTGTTGGATATTATCCGGCTAGATCTGCATACTCAGCCCTCAGTTAGGAAGCCTCCTCAGTCTACTTCCTTCAGAACGTCTGTGGAGAACGGGGCCCTCTTGAGAACAGGGAGGTCTGCCCCTGCTTTCAAGGACACGACAGACCCGGAAGCGGCCCTCACTGCCCGTGATCTCTCCACTATCATGGCTAATGGCACAGCTCCCAGGGGAGCTGAGGAATCAAATGGGATGAAGGAGGGTTTCTATTTATTCTGCGAGGAGTACTCTAGTTGCAATGATCCTTCCAGGCCATTAGAAGATTTTTCTATAAACTACTGTGTCTGTGCCTGCTGGAAGCCGAAGGAGCCTGGCTTGGCTTCAGCCTCTCCAGACCTCTAACAGCCAGTTCAGACAGAGGCCTTGGGGACAGGCTGATCTTCTGAGCATTCTCTCGCTGTTCTGTCCCTCTGGAGAGAAAGCATCTTTTATCAGGGTTGTTGTATAGACAAAATTATAGTAACAACACCCAGCAGAGTCCTCTAAAGAGCTTTATCATCTAATGAGACCTTTCTGTGAATGCAAAAGGCATTTTGAATCTAAGAGTAAATACCATTCATGGCTTTGCTTTGTGGTTGTTCTTGTTGCCATTTGTTTCATCCTTATTTCAGAATGTATTGTCTTCTATTTATTTCAAAATGGAAAGTCTAATTAATTATATAGTAAGGTGCCAAATTTTATCAAACTGACCAGTCTCTTCCTTCACGTGTTGTGAGAAAGAGAAGGTATAAATGTGGCAAGCTCAGGGATCACACTTAAATGAAGACTTTGCTTTACTTGAACACACATGTGCAGTTCAGTTTTAAAATCTAAGAAGCTGGGTCATTATCATCACAGAGACAAAAATTTAACCTTTTATTCCATTGTAAACTTTGAATTAAAACCAAGCCTCTAGAAACCTGTTAGAGAAAGTTTTTTTTTAAGAAAATAAACAAACTTGGAAGTTATATTTCAACCTCCCATGTAAGAATTAAAAATACTTCCTGAAAGCAACTTGATTTTTTTTTTCTAGTTTTGTTTTGTTTTGTTTTGTTTTGTTTTTGTCTAACAGGCAAGAGGTTTTGAAGTGTTTTTCTCATGCTGTCAAACACTGTTCCTGTAATCCAGGAAAAAAAAAAAAATCACATTGAAAGCAGAGAACAAATTAGGGCATTAGGATAAAGAAGATCTAAAAGGAGAGTGGATGACAATCAGAGTGGCAGCAAGTACCTTACTGTCCAGCTTTTTCATGGTGACCAGATCCAGGGACTTTAGTGAATGTCCAGTAGGAGCAATAAAGTAGAGGCAGGCATGGATCCTCGTGTCATGGTAGTTGAAGAGAGAACGTTTAATCTTCAATTCCTCTTGCAGGTAGGCCTCGAACTGGGCATCGATATATTCTACTATCGGCTTATAGCTAGAATGCAGAAACAGCATGTTTCTAGTCTCAAATCTCTTTCACAGTTTGGTGTAGACAATCCTCCATTCAACATCACAATGGCTTCTTCTTTTCTAAGGGCTAAAGCCCAAGTCCTTACCTAGGTATCCAAGGCCTTCCATCACCTGATGCCTGAACAGGGCTCCAGGCTCACCTCTCCTGTCCCAGCCACGCCCAACCATTTGTAGCAGCCCCCACGTGTCAAGCCCTTATTTCCTCTGTGTCTTTGCTCACGCGGGCCCCTCTGCGAGAACCTGTCTTTTTCCTACTCTTTTCCTGGCTAACATTGATCCTCTAAAACAGAGACTGTACATATGTGGAGCGGGCTGCCACTCTCCCAAGGTGCATCCATGGAAGATATTGCTAAGAGATTGTGGCATTCTTTCCCGCTGGGCCAAAACTGGGCCTCAAAAATCCATCTGAGAAAAGTGATTGTGAAGCTTCTCCCTACTGATTGCCATTGGTGCACAAAATGAAACTGTTGTGTGGTTTCAGAATACAACACCACCACCTACTGCGAGCTATTTCCTGGTCATCTGCCCTGTTCCTCCAGAGGTGGGGGCTCTCTGTGCTCCCATAGCCCTGTGCACAATCCAACTCATCTAGGAACTAAGGTGCCTAGACTATTATGATCTTCAAGATTCCTTTCAACTCAAAATCTTCATGATTTAAAGGTAAACATTGTAACCTTCTCTTCTCACCAAATCATTCAAATCTGTTTTGGATAATTGTGTGTGATCCTATTAACTGACCATAAACACAATGACGAATAGCATATTGGGGATACACATTCCATAAACCACATGTCCAGGAAGTAAGCAGTATGTTAGGTCATTGTGGGAAACCCACTAATTTTTTCTGGTCTCCAATGGGACTACTCAGAAGAAGTTTGTTTTAGCAACAAAGAGACTGTTCTATTAGGAATACAAAGAGTTAATTCTCCCCAAACTTACTGCCTTTCCGAAGATATAAGTTTTAAGAAAAATCAAAACATTTCAACACCCAAATCCCATACCCATAAGTTAAACTGAAATCCTTGAAAGGGAACCACAAATCTTTTATAATAAAAGTGACAGCAGACATCCTAAGAAAAACAAACATCCCCAAAATAAACAATAACCACAAACAAACTTATGAGCAAAACTGAAAGCAGTCCATAAAAAGCTTTTTGATATTTTTCTTTGGTGATTTTATCACAATCTATTGGTTCAATTAGAGTAGACAAAATCTCCAGAGGTTTTAAAAAAAAAAAAAAGGTAGGATATACCTCAGGAATAATAAAATTCCAAATCATGACAGGCAAAATTCCAATAAAAAGAATCAATGAGCAATAAGATTCTTCTATATTTTCTAATCTTGAAATATAGACATATATTGCATAATAATAATATTTAATGAGATAATTATAGAGGATGGTGGTTAGAAACATGGATTCAAGCCAAACTGCCTAAAACCATAATACAGCTGCACAACTTACTAGCTGCACAGCCTTAAGCAAGTCACTAAACCTCTCTGTGTCTCAATTTCCTCACAGGTAAATCAGAGACAAAAATAGTAGTTCTGTCAGAGAGCTATTGAGACAAATAAATGAGCCAATATATGCAATACATGTAAAAGGCTGTCACATAAAAGATATAACTATTTCATAATTATATAATAAATAACCAACACTATAGAATCAAGCCTGACTTTTTAGAAAAACCTTAAAAAAAAAAAAAAAAAAAAAGGAACTTTACATTCACCCAGTTCTCTGCTGGTATCTGTCCTGCTATGGAGCTCATGCCCAGGAGGGAAGTGCAGCAGGTCACTCCAGTGAGGTCCACCCATGCCCTTTGCCCTTTCAGTGTGGGGCTGATCCTTCAGTCTCCTGACACTGAGGCAGATTTGGGGATTAGGGATCTTCCCCAGCAGCCTATTATCCCCAAGGGTAAGAGAAGCAGCTCACAGCAATTGCTCCCCTGCATCCCCAGTGTCTGATTTTTTAGCTCTTAGCACTCCTGCTCTCAATAGTAGTCCAAATACGGTTCTGCTTTCTATTAATTTCCCTTCTTGCCTCTGGGTTTTGATTCTGATCCTCCAAAGACAATGAGAGGCATAACATCACTCATTTTGCAGTGAGGAATGCTTTCCGCACTGGATTCAAGACATCTTTTGTTCTCTAATATCTCAGACTTCCTTCTACCTGTTCTTATTATAGAGTCCTGGCCAATCATTCAATCTCCTTTCCTTTCACTCCATGTGTTCCCTCTAGAAAATCACACTCATTCCCTCTAGAAAATCACTATCATCCGATAGATAGTTCCACTCACCATCTATCTGATGACAAGTCATAAATCTCTACCTTCAACCCGGATCTTTCCTCAGAGCTTCAGACCCATCCACAATTGCTTATCCTATATTTTCAACTGCTTTGCCAACTAAATATGTCCAAAACTGAACTATTCATCCTGCCTTCAAACCTACATTTTCCCTGTATTCCTTAGCATGGTGGCCACCACCCACACCACTGGCCAAGTCAGAAAGCTGGGATTCAACCTGGAGCCTCCTTCTCTTACCTCACACACATAATAAATCTGAAATCCTATCTACTTTACCTTCCAAACCATTATTAACCAATAAAAATAAATGTATTCCTGGACAACAATTTACCAAAACCACTGTTCCCTATGTCAAAGATTTAATTATGATAATAAAATAGTTTCTTCTTGATGAGACTCAAGCCAGCCAAGTGGTTTTGAACTCCTCATCATCATCCTGTAGATGAGATGAATTATCTGCCTCTTCCTCCAAATCCTTTCCACTTCTGCATCTGAAGTAAGAAAGAAAGGAAGTTTAATCCCAGCTTAGCCTTTTGCTAGCTCCAGTCCTACTAACACTTATTTATATTCTTTTTGGCCAATTAAAACTTCCCTGGATTGTGGCCATATCAATCAGAGGAAAGACAGGAGGACAAATCCAGTCTAGCCCTTATATTTTCACATAATTTTCTTTTAAGGCATGGAGATATTCCTTGTTACACAGCACTCATTTTTTTCCATATACCTCCAGCCATAAAACACACACACACACACACACACACACAAACGACAGAGGCTAACCCTAAAACCGATGGAAAAAGATACTTAGACAATGTTTTCCATCCATCCAACCTACCCACTGATCATTCTTGCAAAATGGCCAATGCCATCATTCAGAGACTGACTCTCCACTTCATATATGACCAAATACTTACCACGTTTTTCCCTTATCTTGCTGTCTGTTAGCCAATTTTCCTTATCCCTTGACTACCTCCACCGGAAAGTGTGATTAAAAACTTAAAATTTAAAGGCCAAACAGTCCATCTCACTACTGTATAAAGATTTGGTGAGGTTGAAATTCTGTCTCGGGGATTTCAATTATTTCTCCCTTTGAGGGCTGACTATCATTATAGCTAGTGATACTCCATGGACAGCTCACCTCCCATCTCCCCAGTGTGGGGCAAACTAATTATTCTATTTCCAATTAAACAACAAAACTTGGTTTCCCTTCTTCCCCAGACCCCTTTCTTTCTCCACTAAAGAGTACAAACAGCCAAAACAAGGAAGACCCTAAATAACAGAGAGTGAAATATGCTTTTAAACATAACAGGAAACCTTACCAGATCTCTCTTCCTGCCTCCTTCTAGCTAGCCTGGTCTGAGGCAGATAATAATACAGCAATGCTGACATGTCCAAAGCCTACATAAACAAACTGGGACATTCTTGAAGTCTTGCATCTATGGCAGAAAAGCTTGCCTAATCCCCAAAGTAGGTAAAAATCAACATGGGTATAGAGAAATAGCACATCCCTTCCCGTATGGTTACATATTGATGCAGAAACGAATATCCCACTTCCAGTTTCTTGAGGGAAGCAGAGCCTGTCTGAATAACGATTTGTGAACAAGTCATTTGGCTTTACAGTCAACAGTGTCAACAATACCTTCTGAGGTACAGGGTAACAGAGAGTTTTAAGTGCCGTTTAAAGAGGTTATGCAATAGCTGTCAAGAAATTTCAGAGGAAAAAAATATTTGGTATCTAGGTTAGGTTAATATCACACTTCCTCTCTTCTAAATCTCCTTGGAAACTATTATTTGACCCAAATGAGTCAGATAATTTCTTAAGGAGGGCTCCAGCTGCAAATATGAGGATATGCATTGTCCTAGCTGTTTGCTGCTGAGTGCTGATTGGGAAGTGAAAAGGCACCAGCAGCCTGAGGGAAAGTCCCAGTTTAGGGGAGAGGCAAAAATCGAGTGGCAGCACTGTGGCAACCCCAGTGAGCTGGAAGAGCACAGGGAATCTCAGCAAGAGGCTATGTGGAGGATGGTTCTCATTCCTAGGGGGAGGGATCCTGAAAAAGTACAGTTACTCTCTTCCAATCAAGGAATGCAAGAATAAGATTTTTCCTAACCCCAGGGAGAAAATCTATACGGGTCTGAGAGGTGGAGAACAGGCCTTGCTCTGGGTATGTTCTGTCACTATGCAATGATTGGAACCCCTTGGCTCTCTTCCCAGCTCCCACAATGCACTTGTGCCCCTTTCCTTATGACCAGGGCTTTTCTCTTCATTTACGCCCTTGGCATTACAAACAGCCTTCAGGCAGGGGCCTCTCCATCACTCCTTGTCATTGAGGTCATATATTAAGAGCAACTGCTCAGCTACAGTGTCAGAGCCGAACTTGTTCCCTGCCCCAACACAATGTACAGATAGTCCATTTTGGCCAGATGCAAAATAAAATCTTTCTCACTCTATCTAACAGTTGTTCCTGTTATCACGGGACAATGTCTACTGAAGAGCATTTAAAGTGCTTTATAGATAAAATAAAGAGCTTGGTGCTCAGCTAAAGAATGAATTAAACATTTCTCTGTCATTACTGTGGTGCTCATACTTGTATCAGGAATAGTTAAAATGTATCTAGGCAATACACATTTCTAGATAAAAACAGGCGAGTTCCTCTTTACAAAACACATGTATATAATATACAGTTCTGAGGAATATGGAAAAAAATCCTGATACAACTGAAGTGTCTGAGCCATAAGCAAACACACCCTAACTTACTGATTTGTTGTTCATGTCTACATATTGGTCACACTAAGCAGGTAGACACTTATGCCCATAATGTTGTAACTGCTCAAAGGTGTTTCTGGAAGCCCCATTCTACAATCACCTTTGGGCCTGGGGCAGTTTTATTTTAACTTTCTCAAACTTCTTTTGAGAATGAATGTACTACGTAAAATAGTCATAAGATATCTGAGGTTGAGACTGATGAACAGAATTGGTGCTCTTGAGAAGGAATGTGAACAAAATCCTGAGATTTTATCTCAACGAAATTTTAAGGATTAAAAACTTCCCTCAAATAAGAGCAAAGAGCAACTCATGGTAAAGACCCAAACTTACATGGCTTTATAAATGGGGTATACTATAAAAACTCAGTGTACTATTTTATCATTACACAGCAAGCAATGGTGAAGGCATTTGTTTACCTGGGGCAGATTTGGTGGAGCATCTAGAGACCTCCCCTCTAGTGTGCTGGCTTCCCAAGCAGTAAGAAGTGATTGATGGCTGGGGTTTCTGCTAAAACTGTTCTGTGGGGTGGCTGGGTGTTTCTCTAGATTGCTTTTTCTGGTAGAAAAGCCCAAAACCTAGTTTCATGGCCTTTGTGGAAAGATGCTGTAAGCTAATTTAATCCCTCTAATAAATCTCCCTTCTGCTCCTACTAGCTGGGATCAATTTTGATGTCTGATTCTGACCTCAAGGAAGAACATTCTCAGAAAAATTCTCAGAGGACAAGAATATCACATCTTTTAGGCAATAGAGGACCAAGCCCCACAACTAAAAAACCCCCAAAACATTTGGCCTTTAAATTTACCTGGGATGGATCCTGCTATCTCCTCATCCATTTATGTCCCCCCAAAATCCCAAGATGTACCTGTCATCTTTATTTATCTGGTCTCCAAATCCCACGGTGTCAACGATGGTTAACTTCAGCCGTACATTGCTTTCCTGAAGCTCATAACTTCTGGCTTTTAACCGAACACCTGGTTCATTGTGAGTAGCTGGGTCACTTTCAAATTTGGTGTTGAACAAAGTGTCCATTAATGTGGATTTGCCAATGCCTGTCTCACCTATGTAACCACAAAAGAAAAATTAGAGAATGTGTCAATGTCTTTCAGACATGAGTTCAGTTCATCAGTATTTTTTTCATTAGTCATGATTATAAAGTTTAAAAAAGAAAAACTGTCACCAGAAATGCCACTGTGAAGAGATAATTCTTTCTATGTGTAATCTATGGAATACTTTTCTTAAAATGCCTCAATGAATTTCAGAAACTATTTAGCAGACAGGATTTCAAATTTACAGCTATCAAGAGATTCTTCTTTACCTCTGGATAGAAAAATTGTACTTGCAAGTTTGCCCATGCTCAGGTTGTATATTACAAGAACATGAACTTTACCTCTTTCTCTCCTAAATGTCAGAGTATAAAACTATATTACTTAAGGGATAAAAGACTATACTGTTGAATTTCTGTTACTTGAAACAAGTGATTCCATTTACACTGAATTACCTAAAAGATCAGTTAATTCAACACCAATATGATACTGTGTCATAGAAAAGAATCACATTATTCAAAATAACACTCTTGATGACAACAGTAACTAATGTCACTGAGTGCTCACTTTGTGCCAACCCCGGTGGCAAAAGCTTCTAGTGCATTATCTCCTTTATGTATGTATGTATATATGTATTTATTTTATTTTTGAGACAGATTCTCGCTCTGTCACCCAGGCTGGAGTGCAGTGGTACGATCTTGGCTCACTGCAACCTCCATCCCCTGGATTCAAGCGATCCTCCCAGATCAGCCTCCTGAGAAGCTAGGATTACTGCCCATGTCACCATGCCTGGCTAATTTTTGTATTTTTAATAGAGACAGGGTTTCGCCATGCTGGCTAAGCTGGTCTCGAACTCCTGATCTCAAATGGTCCACCTGCCTCGGCCTCCCAAAGTGCTAGGATAACAGGCATGAGCCACCACGCCTGGCTACATTATCTCATTTAAATCCCACTTCTACTACCATGAAATAGGTACTACTGTTTTCTCCATGTTCAAGATGGAACAGTAGGCTTAGATAAGACTTATGAGTAACTTGCCTAAAGTCATTGCTAAGTGGTGGAACCAGGGTTCTAACTCAAGTCTGTATGGTTCCAACACCTGCACTCAACCAAGACAGCAGCCTGATTTTACTATTACAGAGAAAACTGACTGCCTAACATTTTCCAGTTACGGTTGTATTAATTCCTCCATATTGTTTTTATTTTTCTTTATCCAGCTGGAGTCAAGAAGCCAAACATTTGTGGCTTCTTAGATAGTTATCCCAGCTTCAGAGTGAAGTTTGGGACAATGAAAGTAAATTACGTTAAATGACCTTATTTACAATGACAATTATTGTTTACACTGATAATTCAACTCAGTAAGTGGTTACTGAGGCCTCATATGTGCAAAGCAGAGTGGCAGGTATCTGGAACCACTATAGCAATCACATGGCGACACCCAAATGTGGAGCTGTAAAGAACTGCAGCCCAACACTCAAAATAACACCAAACAAAACTCTCTCTTAATTCTAATTCTTATGTTGAGTCAAAGACAGTTGGCAATGAGAAAAAACAGCCTTACATGACTGAGCATATGATCATGGAGAGGAGGGGGTAGAAATCCAGAAACATTAGCCCTAGGGATACCTTTTTTCTTTCTTAATCTGGAAAATTTCTCAATTAGATTTCCAGCTCGATTTAAACTTGCCAATATAGAACAGCCCTTTCAACAACTTCTAATCCCAGTATGTTCCTAGGAGCATCCTCTCTTCTAAGGATTGCTATAATGACTTTAAGGATGGTAGTGTTCTATGGAAAAAAGAAAAACTCTGGGCAACCCTCCCACTACAAGGACAAAATCTACTTACTAGTTTTAAATTCTGTATTGTATACTCATTGCTTTCCAACATAATACAAAAGTGAAGGAGGATGAAGTCTTTCTGGATTTGAACTTTCTCTGATTAGAAAAGCCTTATATGGCTTGCCTCTAACCATGATGATTCACTTATAGGGTAAAAGTTGGCCAAGTACATTCATCTTACTCTTTAACCTTTCCTGTTGTGTCCCTGAACATCTAAGATCATAGAATTTCCTCTTTAGTCAGGCTTCATTCAGCCAGTATTTTTCCAGTGCCTACTATGTACAAGTTCTGTGCCAAGTTCTGAGAATTCAAGAAACTAGCCTGATGGGGTGGTCTCCCACATCTTAGAATCTGGTCTAGAACATGACTGAATAATACCAGTCAGACTTTAATTTATTATTATGGGAACAACATTCTAAGTGTTTGTCATAACTGCTTTCCCCTTATAAGCAAGACCATCCTTTACACCCATGACCCTGCTAGTTGGCCACAGACAACCAGACCATGGCTAGGTCCTGACCTAAAGGCAACCACAGAAGCGCAATCATTTCACTATGAGCTGGGGCTCCACATTGGAGAGTGGCCTATCTAATCACAATTTTTCTCTTTGGGTGTTTGAATGAGATACATGCAATCTCCACACAGTGTGAAGGCATGAAAAAGAAACGATATATAAAGAGAGGTAAGTAAGCAGAAGCCATGAGGCAGCAAAGGCTGTAAGTAAACAGAAGCCATGCTGCAGACAGAATGTAGGCTGGGAATACAGGAAAGAGCAGATAGATGGCGTAGAGTACTGGAAATCCATCATGAAATTAATGCTTGGGTGCTCACTGTGTGACAAGCATAGGTGCAGGGATGAAGTAATGAACGAAAACAGACACTGACACCTGTTTGCACTTCTGTAACATCCTAAATGTCATTCCAGATCTCTATGGGGTCTGGCTGTGCAGCGGTTGAGATGGTTTCCTGTCTTCCTTACTTTCCTGAATAGTCTTAAAAAAAAAAACCCTCCATAAAAGCAATATAAAACCAGTCTCTGCTCCCTAACCTGAAAGAGTTTAACAAGTTAATACTCACCATCCATGGCTTAACAAATTAGCTTTGAGCAAAACAAAGTACTGTGTAGTGGATACAGAAATAAAACAGGGTTCTCACTAGTCGTTGATACTGAAGGTACTTGAGTCATTTTAAGTACATGCTACAAGTGTAACATTCTCAAGCAGAGCCAACTTCTTTTCAGGATTTACCTATTTTTAGAACAAAAAAGGCACAAAAGCAGATCTGCCATATAAAAGTTTCTCCTTTATGGGAAAGGCTCTGTCCGTAGAAAGTGACCTACTTAACTTTCATCTTCTTCCCTAAGAATAGCAATAAAGACTTCAATTACATGGCAAGGATTCTAGGTTACCTGGACAAGATTGAAATTATCATCTTATTTTACTAGGTTGAAAATTACTTAAGCACCCATGTGAATCAGGAACACCATACATTTTTTTAAAGGCATGGTAATTTTAATTATCATTTACATTAAGGTGGAAATTACAAACAATTAGCATACCAGGCCCTACTTATAGCACAGGGTTAATCAATGGGTTGAAAAAAACCACTGTTCCTCTAAACTTTGGTGTGCTTTGCTTTCCATTTCTATGCTCTGTGCTTTTAAGAGCTGTAATTAGACACGGCAACTCCAGCAGCAGTGTGATTCACCAAAAGCAGTTCAGCAGGAAATGACAGCTTTTGGAAGAAAAGGAACTCCAGAAGAACTAGGGAAGTTTTTCAATGCATTAGCTTTTTTCCTTTAACAGACAGGGTCTCACTGTGTTCCCTATGCTAGTCTCAGACTCCTGGACTCAAGCATTTCTCCTGCCTTGGCCTCCTGAAGCACTGGGATTCGTTTTTGAGGCTTCTCTCTAATCTTTGTAAGCGGAATCTCATCTATACTTTTGAGGACCCATAAGACAAAAATTTCTTTCTAACCAAATAACTAAAAGCCTACTAGGCACAGGTTCCAATTCAAACCAAACAACCATAACAATATTTTCAGAAAAATCAATGACTAACACTAAAGTATTTCAAAACTCCCTAGCAGAGTGCCTGGCACAAAGGAGACATTTATTAAAAGTTAATTGCAGGCCAGGCACGGTGGCTCACGCCTGTAATCTCAACACTTTGGGAGGTTGAGGCAGGCGGATCACCTGAGGTCAGGAGTTCGAGACCATCCTGGCCTACATGGTGAAACCCCATCTCTACTAAAAATACAAAAATTAGCCAGGTGTGCTGGTGGGCGCCTGTAATCCCAGCTACTCGGAAGGCTGAGGCAGGAGAATCCCTTGAACCTGGGAGGCGGAGGTTGCAGTCAGCAGAGATCACACCACTGCACTCCAGCCTGGGCGATAGAGTGAGAGACCCCATCTTAAAAAAAAAAAAAAAAAAAAAAAAAGTTAATAGAAAACAAAAATGATCATGGTGGTGATTTATACAGAGATATGCCACTGTGGTAGATTTTTTTCAGAGTCTGTTGTTTATTCTATCATAAATTCGTCTGCCTAACCACTTTATTGTTACAGTAATTAGAGACCCTATTGAAGTGCTATCTGGGGCTTCTATTTTTCCTGTTCCTGCCGATGCTAGTGAACATGATGCCCACATCACAGGGGAAAGCAGTCCTACCTTTTCCGTTCTATTCTCAGGCTTATTTAACCCACGAGCTCTAAGGTGAACAAGGCAAGGGAAAAACAGTGGGATTGTATTATTAATTAGAAGATAACTGTAGATTGAACAAATTGTTGATCTGTGATTCAGCATCTTTTACTCTAATTGCCAAGACTGGCTGCTTGGGTAAGTAACTGTGCATGGGGATCTGCCTGCCTTCCCTAAATATTCTAGATTTTACTCTTGGATGGAATCAGAGAGTCAGAAAGCTACATACCTAAGTTGCATTGTTCTTGTTCCTCATAGAATCACCTTTGATGAAATAATCTCTGGCATAAGATGAGCCAGCCTGTGGCACCTGGCATTTCATTAAACAATTGCACTGACTTAGAGGATGCCCAGGAACCCAGACCACTACATACACTAAATCGCTTTTCTGAAAATCCATCGAGAAATTTTTCCAGGTAAAGCTGTGTTTCATCCGGAGCAATCATTTTGTTTTTACTTTATAGATACTATAAATCTGTCGTATGTTAAACTTTTTGCTTGTGTTTAGCATATAACACATGCTCATTAAATATCTGCTAAATGAATGAGTGAATTAATAGCCTCCATGCTCTGACCACTAAGCTGAGAGAAAAATGTAATACTTCATCAATTAATTGCTATAGGCAGGCCTGATGGCACACTTTGAGTTCTGATTCTATCCCTGGCTTCACCTTTATTTTCTAGGGTTAATTTTGTCTTTATTTATTTTACCCTATAAGCCATTTACATCCTTTCCTGGAAAAACAAGATGGGATAAAAATGTTTAAGATTTGATTGTAAATTTCCACAATTTATGTTGACACTATACCTTGGCTAAGATGGCCTTACACTTCACTTACCTGTTTTTAATTCCTGTTCTCTCATCCCCTCAAAACAATTAAGGTTGAATTGTGGAAAAATTTTCTGTTTCAAAATGTATTACTAATTTACTTTGACTCTACTATCAAATTGGCTCTTCTTCAAAAGCAGAGATGTTACATTATCTTATTCACCTTTGTATGTTCACAAGAAACAGACAGACAGCTGGATCAATGTTGATGAGGTTTTCTTCCTAGAGTTAGTATCATTTTGGAAAATGGATGAGAAAGACATACACATTTAAAATTATAGAAAAAGGCTAAATGCTAATTTAGATCTAATTTAGATTCTCTGGAGAATTACAGCATGGGTAAAACATGAAAGGCTTTATTTAAACTAAAATGTAGCTTCAGGAGTGATTTAGGTGTGCTATGGCAAAACAGACAGTGGGGGAATGATGAACTCCTAGGTGTTCTGTTATCTCATTTAACATCAGAATTCTCTTCCCAGTGAAATGAAAACTATTCTTCCTCTAGTACGTGCCTTCCCAGGACCAACAGAGATGGGTTCTAGCAGCAGACGTTTAATTCAGTATCTCTGAAACTAGACTTAGTTCATGCCAGGACCATTTTCTGCTCTGGTTTATTTCCTGTGCATTCTTTCAAACTACAGGCTCATGCCACAAAACAAAATTATAATTCTGAGACCTTTTTGGTAAAAACTTTCCTTACTGGGATCATAACTATTTTTTTATCCTTAATTCCCTCCCATATTTATCACAAGTAAGTAAATTCACGCTATAAGTATCACATGTGAATACTGTGCAAAATAAACAAATGGGCAGTAAGAAGGAGTAAGTAAGGAGGAAAAATTACCATGGATGCTCTTAAGTTAAATATAACACCTGCTCCTCTATGTGGCTGTCCAAATATTTTGATCTACTTTTTATAGACTCTTACTTTAAAAATAGATGGACCATTGATTGACAGTAAGTTTTTTCTTATAAAGATATTATGCCATAAAATATCTATGGCAAAGGGATTTGATATTCAACTTTCTGAGGATGATATTCAATGCTGACACTCTTATCTCCCAAAGAGCTCATGCTAGCCCCAAACAAGGGGCTCCAAAGGGTTATGGAAAACGACCTGGAGAGTTAGATATGCTGACAGCGAAGGATATCCAGGACTTCTTGTGGACTGAAAAGAGGAAAATGCACAAGATGAACAGCATGATCTCATTTCCGTAAAAGCAAAACAAGAAAGCACCTACATAACTGTGAGAAAGCTGTTTTTATCTGTCCAGTATGTGTCTCTCCCAAGCCCTATCTCCTTTCTGATCCTGTCTTCTTGCCTATGGGGAACCTCGTATGTTTTGGAGCGAACTGACCCCATCTTCCCCGCAGGCTGAGCGTGTGACTGAGTCCTGGCCAATCAGTGAAATCCTGACTGTTCGGTGAGACGTGTCAGGAATGCCTTGTTCCTTCCCCTGAGGTTGCTAGGCTGGTGATGCTGCCAGAGCCAGGCTGCTGTCGTGAGGAAAATGCCTGAATGTGAAGCAAGCAGAAGCAAGCAGGATCAAGAACCAGAGAAAGAGGCCTGACAGGGCTCTTTGAACTCCTGGAGCCAGCTGCTCTTAATTACCCAATTCACCATATTACCTTTTCAGTGTGTGTTGGAGGGTGGGGAAGAGTCTTAACTGGATTTAAGCTGGATTTCTGCAATTCTCTGTGGAAAATTTTCTGACACAAAAATACCAGGAGAGCGATGCGATGTGACTGGCTTTGAGAATGGATGGAAGGAGCCAAGAGCCAAGGAATGCAGGCAGCTTCCAGAAGCTGGAGAAGGCATGCACTCTCCCTAAAGGTTCCAGGAAGGAATGCAGCCCTGCAGACCCATACTGGACTCCTACCTACAGAACTGTAAGCCACCAAAAGCAATTTCCTAACACAGAAAGATGTCAAAAGTTTCTAGAAGGATCCCACAGTGTTATCTCTGTGAAATGGAAATGGGAGTGGGAGATGAAAGGAAGTATTTTATTACATTTTAAACAAAAAATATATATTATGTTCATTAGTTTGAAAAACTAATTTTAAACATGTTTAAGAACAGAACCTGACAAAAATCTAAGAATCACAAGTATTATAACCCACCCAGGAGACTCCAAATAGGGCTGCTTTACACATCTAACAGGGCAGCATGGATTTGGCCTCTGAGGCATTCAGCATCTGAATTGTCTTATTTAACACAAGGAGTCAGCCCCTGAGCCAACACACCCCACTGCACACCACCTACCCAGTTAAACCAGGATCCCACCGGAAGGCTTTCCCCTACTATCCCCTGCAAGAGCCAGGACAGAACTCTCAGACATGTTCTTAGAACTGATTTTGGAGACAGGGCTGGGGAGGCACTGAAGAGAAGCCAGAAGAGTAATTGGCCTGGGATTACAATTTAGCATACTTTTCAATAGAAAACCAACAAATCGCCAACAAATTGCTATGCTAATGAAGAATTGCCCTGCTCTGCAATAAGCATTTATCATGAGAGAAAGGACAACCCATTCATGCCACTCTGTAGAACTAGCTGCCATTCGGGAGGTCTCCTGCTGAATTTTAAAAGGCTTCATGTAGGGAAAAGGGGAAAGCATGAGATGAGAGTTGGCTGCTGTGGCCATGTTTCTCTCCAGTCCTTCTCTTATCCAGTGCTTAAGATAAAATGCCAGGGAGCAAGTTGGTCTAGCGTGCCCACCAATTGTGACTTTCTACTAATGAATGCCCAGTGCAGAGGCTACATGCAGTCGAGTCATCAAGAGGTTCAAGAAGTTTTTAAAAAAGAAAAATATCTGCACTCCCCCCAACTTCCATAACTGACAAATAAGCAAATGATGGTTCTCACATTGAACACACACCTTTTCTAAATTCTCTTCGCTTTACTTGGACAAGAAAAGTAAGTCTGACACATTCTGCCAAGCTTAGGGAAAAGACAGTCCACTTGGCTACATACAGAATTCTTTGATCTGTCTCAAAGTGATGTCTCAGAGGGAAATGCCCAGAGGACAATGCCAACAGAACAATATGGCCCAAACCACTTCACTGCTATTTCACCTGCCATTCATCAGGCGTGATGGAGGAGAGAGCAATAGCCATTATCTGTTCCACGCACATTTCTCTTTCAAACTAACAGGAAATTTATATTTTGATTTTCTTTATCCCCCTTCTTTTCCACCTTCCTCTTCTTTGTCCAAAAAGGATATGGCGTACAAAAAATTAGCCGGGCGTGGTGGTGGGCACCTGTAATCCCAGCTACTCAGGAGGTTGACGCAGGAGAATTGCTTGAACCCCGGAGGCAGAGGCTGCAGTGAGCCGAGATCGCCCCACGGCACTCCAGCCTGGGCAACAGGGCAAGACTCCTCCAAAAAAAAAAAAAGATATGGCTAGAGGAGTGAAGAAAAATACCAAGGCAGAGGCCTAGTCCAAAGTAAAATGTTTAAGGGATCTTAACGATATTGTAATGATCGGTTGCTTGACTGTGTGACAGAAATACTAATAGTAATCTGAGTAACATGACAAAACATACAATGCATTTACCTAAATACAGCTCTCAATCTTTATAACTTGTGACATGTATAAGGCAGATATTTTGCCTTGCTTTACTGATGAAAAAAAAGAGAATAAACATGTCATTCTTATTTCACTGAAGCATGTCTCTCCGACAGTCACCTGTCAATATCTAAGGATCAAACTTCTTGCTGTGTGGGTGATGAATAACTTACCAACACAAAGGATGTTGAAACAGAATCCTTGAGAAGTAGACTTGTTGACCAGTTGGTCAGGGAGGCTGTCAAATCCCACATGGCCAGACAAAGACAAGTTTCGAAGCTCTTCATTCTGGAATTTCAGGGGAGAAAGATTTGAATGTCCATGAACCATGCCACCTGGATATCACATATCACAAACATTGCATTCTCTCCTCTTCTTCCCTTGACATACATGGAAATAGACCCCCACAGCCGCCTTCGCTTCTACACAGCTGAGGGCACTAACAACTCCAAAGCCATGCTCTTTCCACAAAATCACAGTTTCCCAAAGCAGACCATCTCCCTGGGTATCTCACTCCTTGTTACAAGTGTACTGGTCCAGGGAAATTTGAGCTTCTAGAGGTGACTATTTCAGATATGCATTAAGTGACCAAAAAAACACAAAAGCCTCCAGCCATTTTGATCACTTTCATTATCCAAGAAAAGCTTTCAATTTACTGTCAACTCACAGTGAAAACATATTTAACACTCTTCCTGATACCAAAGAATTTGAAAAGCTCACGGTGGAGGATACATACTCCTTACAATGATGACAATGCTCTACCCACCATAAATGCAACATATTTAAAACTTCTCAGCACATGAGCTGGTTTCCTCTCCTCCATTAGTTTCACAGGTTTCTTGAGTTAGCAGAGATTCTGTAACTGCTGGACTTTTGCAGAATTTACCAATGGAGACTGGGGTAAGGTAGTTATCATACATTTAAAAATCACACAGGATATGGCTGGAAGCTAAAATAAAATTGTTGGGTGATTTATGCTGTTATATCAAATGGTACTGGCTGCCCCCACAACTTTGAATGTGTCCCGTGGGTGCTAGAGATAATCTGTGAAACCCTTTTTTCACAAGATGCAGAGATCAGCTACAGTCCCTCAGTTATAATATCATGGTTATGGTTTGCAATTTCAGAAATTAGATACTGAAAGTCTTCTCCTTGGAGACATGACTCCTGGTATTCTGGCTGTGTTGTCAATGAACTTTATACTCAAAATACTGGAGTCCAGGTGAGAAAATGATCCTCAAAGCTCCATTTTTATTTTTATTATTTATTTGTTTTTGTATTTATTTATTTATTTATTTTGAGATGGAGTCTCACTCTGTCGCTAGGCTGGAGTGTAGTGGCACGATCTCAGTTCACTGCAACCTCTGCCTCCTGGGTTCAAGCAATTCTAGTGCCTCAGCCTCCCGAGTAGCTGGGATTACAGGCACGTACCACCATGCCCAGCTAATTTTTGTATTTTTAGTAGAGACGGGGTTTCATCATGTTGGCCAGGCTGGTATCAAACTCCTGACCTGGTGATCTGCCCGCCTCGGCCTCCCAAAGTGCTGGGATTACAGGCGTGAGCCACCACGCTCAGCCATTTTTATTTTTTTAGAGACAGGGTTGCACTGTCACTCAGGCTGGAATGCAGTGGCGTGATGATAGCTCACTGCAGCCTCAAACTCCTGGGCTCAAGTGATCCTCCAGCTTCAGCCTCCCAAGTAGCTATGACTACAGGCATGTGCCACCACTCCCAGATTCAAAGTTCCATTTTATTAAAAAAAAAAAAAAAAAAAAAAGAAGAAAGCTTTGCACAAGATCACTTAGTCAATGTTTTCAAAGTACTAGTTTTCATCATCCTATTTTTATGTTACATAATCGTGAGGGTGAGGGTGATTTCTTTTAATAAGCAAAGACTAAGACCCCATTTCAAATGTTTGTGGTCACCATATAGGCACAGAAATGTGACTCCAGAAATGCAGTGATTTTAAAGGACTTCAATGGTTTTATTAATAATACAATGTCTAAAGTCCATATCAGCTCTAAAATTCTGATTCTGTGAAATAAGACTAAAAGCCACCACACTGCCTGAATACCATGGTGGCAGCTGCAGATTTGAGGTCAATGGGACAGACAACAGATGTCTAGTCTATGAATAGTTTCCTTGAAACCTGCCAACAGTGAATATGAGACTCAAGAGTAGGCACTTATCCTTGAACAGGATGGTATGGTAGGCAGCTCACCAAACAGCTTCGAAGGCAGGCCCCAGTGGGCAGCAGTCCTTGTAGCTGGGCAAGCCTTCCAACAATGCTGTACTTCTTCCAGCCCCAATCCTTGTACCTACCCCTTCCTCTTTAGATACCTCAAAGACAGCAGGTATTTTTAGGGTGTTTACCACATCCGCCAAGACTTGGGGGGAGGAGGAGGGTTTGAAATGAGTCCTGGGTTATTTTTAGAATGCTTTCCACGGAGCTGTGCGGTAGCTATTGTGTATCAGGCTAGGAGAAGCCATGGCACCAGCCTTCATTTCTGCTGCATCACTGACTTCAACCATTCGTGAACGGATGAAAGAGACAACACAGGGCAGAACCATCATCCCACATTCCCTCTCTCCACCGCCACATAATTCTTTTAATTTCAGGGGGAGGGGAGAATGGTTTATTGCTCTGGATTCTGGATTGCTGGGTTTTTAGATACCAGATATCCACCTATGAACCAATCCTGGGAAAGAATCAGAGTTAGTAATTATAGCTCTCATCCTAGAACCCAAAGCTCAGCATCTCATATTCTCACCGTTTCCAAAACACGAGAAGCCACCCACACACCCACTAAGTATTTTTATACCCATTGAAAACCACATACAAAATGAAGGGTTATAAAAGAGTTTGGTCTTGACATTTTTGAAATTTGAAGTTGTATCTTTAGAGTCTGTCTTCTAACACTGTAATATAGAATATGTAAATTTTATAATACAGTTTTTACATTTCTTAATTTGAGCCTAATTCTCTGCCCAGTATTAAAGGAAACCTGAGAGTCAATGCCCATCAGTATGTGATGGGGGAAAGGGAAAAAGAGGTTCCTCCTCTGGTTTATGAACAGGCTTAAAAACTGGAGCGAACGGCACTGGAGGACTTGCACAGGGCAGCTCTGAGCACCTGACCCAGTGCCTCCAGCACAGCAGCTGAACCGGATCCCTCCAGTCCAGCATTTTATAGCTCTTCCCTTAGCTGCCACAAGCCAAGGATTATGGGGTCTTTTTTGAGTCTCCAGGCCCAGTTTCAGGGAACTGCATATATTCCATGTTGTTAACTAACGCATCGGGAAATGACTCTGAATTTATCTCTAATATTGAACTCTGCTTGGCGTCCAGTTCTGAATTTCTATCAGAGGAACACTTCTCTTGGGTTGTCCCATCTGTACTTCAAACTTGATGTTTATGACACTGAAATCATATTCCTCTATCCCAAACTCGCCCGTTCTCCAGAGTTCCCTATTGCTGTTAACAGTACTTAGCCATGCTTGAGACCACCTCCCCTCCCACCATCAACTCTGAAGTCTTATCAGTACTACATCCTCCACATTTCTATTCCTACTAATTCAACAGCCTCCCAACTGGCCTCCCTGACTTGATGTCACCCTCTCTAATACTTCCTCCCTCCACCTTGCTGTCAAGGGGATCTCGGTACTCAAGGTCCCCAATCCAAACTCCTTGGCCTGTCATTTCAGGGCCCTATGGGCTAACCCCAAATCTCCATTCCTACTGAATCTCCCACTTCTCCCCAGGGAGCACCTTACACTGCAGTTAAATTAAATGGCCCCTGTTCTTGGGACAAACCCAGGTTTCTTCCCATCAGAATTTAGTCACATTATTTCCTCTATGTGAAAGGGCCTTACAGCCAGTGTTTACATATCCAAATCTTCTAGATCCCAATAAAATTCTACCTCCATCATTGTCTTTATTATGAAATCTTGGGAAAAATTTCACTAAACATTCTTCTGACCACTAAAAGGAAAATACTGATTGAAAAGCGGCTCAAGCTATTTGGAATTCCATCATGATAATAACAGCTAACATTTATTGACCATTTCCAATGCTCCAGAAAAGCCCTAACTTCTCTCTCTTAACAATTCTATATAGTTACATTATTACCCAAACTCAATTTACAGATGAGAAAACAGAGGCACCATTTAGTAACTTGCCCAACGTTTCCCAACTAGTAAAGTCAAGGTGCTGAAATTGGAACCCAGGAAGTCAGGTTCCAGAGCTGCCGCCGAACAGTCATTGTTATCTCATGATGATTTATTAAGTTCCCAGGTAGCCCCAGACAGTACAGTGATTTCAGCTGTTATAAAAATCCAATATATTAAAATAGAAGGAAAAAAATACTCTCTGAAAACCATGATTCTTTGGCAACCATAAGAGATGGAAATTGAGAATTAAAACTGGCAAAGTAGCTCCAAGTATATTTTCACTGATCCTGGCAATGCCAAGACCAAACTTTGATTTTTGTAGTGATGGCATATGAAACCCATAATATAATGCTTAGTTTTAACCATTTCTGAAAAGATAGTGCCAACACAGAACCACTAAGTAAGTATAAGACCTGAATTGATTTAGCCCTCCATTTGCTAATCTGCCTAGTGACGCTTTGTAACTAGATAATTTCTACAGCCCACTCCATCTTGAAATGGATTATCACCAACCTTTATGGTATAAAATAAACTTGTTTTTCGCTTGACAATTTCACTTTTCTCTTTTCAGAACATATCCTCTTAGATACAATTATTTATTTGTTTATTCAAAAATACCCACTGCTGAAAGCACTAAGAAAGCTAAAATATGTTATTTTTATTATTCATTGATCAACACTGCAGTTCTGACCCTTAAGAGGTTTTACAATGTAATAGTAGAGCTAGGACAGATGTAAATGTAAGACTATGAAGGATAAAAGCCATCAATACCATGGCCTCAACTATGGGAAGGCATGGAGAAGAAGTAGTTTTTGGCTAGGGAAATTAAGGGGATACCTTTTAGGAAGGCTAAAGTTCCCCAAATCTATCAGTGAAACAAAAGCCCAGCTTGCAGAACCCTTCTGGATAAATGTTATCTATGCCCAAAAGGTCACTTTCTTATGAATGTATACCTGAAGTGTATAATTGGTAGCTTTTCAGAAAATTCCCAGCTGACTTCATTATTGAGATAATTATAAAACAAATTATGTAAGAATGTGTGCCACCACCTACATTCTGAGCACTGCTGTAAAATATGTTCCACAATTCCAAATCTTGCTTCAAAAGAGAAGGGCAGC